CAACTTTTTATCATTTTTAAGTATTACGTTGAGCTGGATGGAGCAATGGTCCAACTCAGTATAAGGCAGCTTCCAGTGTCTTCAGATATGCTTGGTGCCATTCCTGTGCGTCTCGTAAGATCACATTGTTGGGGGCACACATTGTGTCTAGCAGCTCTTTCAGCCAGACAGCAACACTTTCCAAATATTGCACAGTGTTATTTTTACCCTTGTCTATTGACAAGGCACAAGAGACCATTGCCACATCTCCCAGTTCCACATGGTTTCAGTATGGGCAAAGGTCAGCAGTACGTGGACTTTGGTTCCTGAAGGATAATGACTTGCTGGTTACTAGCATGGAACAGAGATTACATAACACAGGTGGCTGATGCTGCAGACAAAAAATGACTGCGTACAGAGGAGATGGGAAAAGAAAAGGACTCTGGTTATTCTGATGGTTATTGTAGGGTTACCAGACATCCCCGGTTCCCGGAGACATTCCCTGGATTTGCAATCTGTCCCCAGACAAATTCTGTCCCCAGAAAGTCCCCAGATTTGCAAATCTGTCCCCAGGAAATGTGGCAGCGGCAGCCTCCACAGCCTGGAGCCAGCCTGGTAGCGCAGTTGGCTTTGGATGGCTTCAGGAGCTGCTTGCTGCCGCCGCCACTGCCAAAGGGGAACCAGGGACATGTGGCGGTACAGATCTCCTGCCTACTTCCCCCTTTGTTTTGACAGATTGGGGGAAGCTTGGGAGTCACGGGTGGGTGGCCGTTGCCCAGGAGGGGCGCAAGGCGCGCAGTTTCTCTGCCAGGCAAGGTGCAAAGCCCTTCTTTCGCACCCTGTGAAACATAAATGCGTAGTTTTTTTAAAAAATTGGGCAACAGATGCCCACCTGCGACTCCCGAGCCTCCCCCGATCAGTCAAAACAAAAGGGGGAGGGGGGAGGATATTGGGGGAGGCTCGGGAGTCACGGGTGGGTGGCACGCTGTTGCCGTTTTTTAAAAACTCTGTGCATTTATGTTTCACAGGGTGCAAATGAAGGGCTTTGCACCTTTATATAATATGCATGTGTGCTTGGGCCCAGGGTCTTTTGCCTCACCATCCCTACTACTGACTCCCTGTTGCTACTCAGCTTAAAAAAAAAAAAAAAGTGTCCCTGGATTCATTGGAAAAAAACTGGTAACCATAGGTTATTGGGAGGGCGGATACTTAGTTCAGGGATTCTGTTTTAACCAGCCAGTGCATGCTGATGCCATTCTCCTGCAATTCTGAGGGTCTCTTCTTACTTGTTAGCTAGCATTTGAAATTCACCAGGTGCCAGGTTCATTTTGCACCTAGCTATCGGCCACTTGTGACCAAGTGAAGATGCCTAGGCACCAGGATGTCGCCCAATGTCTTCACTATTTGGAGCTGCATACCTGGGGATCCTTGGATCCTGACTCTTTTCACACACTAGCAACACATCCTGTAGAATTCTATCTGTTATATTTTATTATCTGAACAATCAGAATGAATTTCAGGACCCCAAAGGTTGTATTGAAAAATACAATTTTCGAGCCATCTGACCCCAAAATGGCAACTAGGCCATTTGGGCAACTGTAACTCTGGTTTAAGGAGCCGTTTGGCACCTAGCTTATATATCCGAGTTTCTAGCTACATGTGGATCCTGTTAGATACCCAACCATGCTGACTGCTGGTTCCTTGCTTGCAATCAGCTCCTGCATGTCTTCTTACAGAAATTGAAGATATGGTTGCTTCGCAGCTGTTGAACTTCCTTTCTCTAGAGATCTGAAAGAAGCTGAAAACTAGTGGGTGTGGGGACACTTGCATGTATCTCAACCATCCCTTTTCTTCTGTTGCCCAGTTTTCATTTCTCTCTGAATTCTGTCATCTTGTTTCCAGTAAATGGAATGTAGTCATTGCAGTAGACATTTAAATTCAGCAATGTCAGCCTTGGCTGTCACTCTGACTGCAATATTGGTCAATAAGCCCAAACAGGAAACATTCCAGTCCTGTTTGCTTAGGGTAGGGTTTTTTTGTGTGTAAATGTATAGACAAGCTCAGAATGGTGTATCCGTCTAGTCAGATGGGACTTTAGCCGTGCAGCAATACATTGGTTGTCATGCAGAGTCCCATACTGCTAGACCATGGTCAGCTGATCTCCAGTAGGCGAGACTTGAGGTCAGTTGTCCAGTTAAGAGGTTCACATTTTCCCCCAATGCAGATAAGATGAAGTAGCAAGAGAATATTAAAAGAAAATTGGAACACATGGCAACTTGCAGAAGATCACTGCATATCCATTGCAAAAATGCGTTAAAAATTGGCCAAACCCGCCCTCAAGAAAACAGCTATTTTCTGTTTTTTGTTTTTGTTTTTAATATTGATTGTGAATTGCATGGAAATTGCTGAAGGCTAAGGCACACATTTTACAAGCAAACAAACAAATAGTTCTACATTGTTGTAGCCCGGCTTCCGCTGGGGAGGGCGGGATATAAATAAAATTTATTATTATTATAACAAATGAATACATCTCTATTGCTCAGTTCAGAAGTTTTGCTTCATGATTATCTCCACCAATAATCAAACAGTTCAGGGCAGAGGAGCCAATGAAACACCTATGATTTCCTCAAGTAGAGATGCCGCCACAAGAGAAAAGGGGTGGGGTGCCCTTACAGGTTCTCTGCCCTTCTGCATAGAGAGACCTGCATAGAATTGGACTGTTAGCAGTTCAGTATATCTACAAAGAACCTGATCATACTGAAGTAGCAGTAGCAGTAGTTATTGTGATTATGATTATGATTATGATTTATTTATTTACTAAGTTGTAGAACTGTCTCTTCCCTCCTTACACAGCTTTAAGCGAATGCTGAAGATGAAGCCCCTTACCCTGGTTTTTGGCATTTAAGATGTACATTTTAAGGACCTGCCTTAGTCCTGTGATTGTAAGTTGTTTAAAACTCTTTTTAACATTGTCTTTTTAATGTTGTGACCCACCTTGGGACCTTAAGGAGAAGGGTGGATTACTAACAACAACAACAACAACACTTTCCAAGATAGCATTTGCATCCTCTTATATCTTGTACTGAAGAGGCTATATAGATGTTTTGCTTCTAAATAACGATTTTAAAAATCATGTTATTATCTTAGGTACATTCGAAAGCACGTCAAAGTGCAAGTAGATAAATAGGTACCACTCTGGTGGGAAGGTAAATAGCGTTTCTGTGTGCTGCTCTGGTTCGCCAGAAGCGGCTTAGTCGTGCTGGCCACATGATCTGGAAGCTGTACGCCAGCTCCCTCGGCCAATAAAGTGAGATGAGCACCGCAACCCCAGAGTCGTCCGTGACTGGACCTAATGGTCAGGGGTCCCTTTACCTTTACATAAGGGATTCTCTTTTCTTTATGTTATATTAATCAACTGAAATGTGTTTTGCCATTTTAAGCTGCACAAATACATTTTTTAAAAAGAAACAACTCAAGCCTGCTGTGTATTATTTAACAGGCTTGTTCTGTGAATAATTGTATCAAAAGCTATGAACTTAAATAATATTGTTATGTAACTGTCTTTCTTGGTTGCTCCTTTGGGGAGGGGATTATTTCATATTCATCACCAACTGCTGGCTTTTATTACTGAAATCTGCATCCAGGGTCAGGAATATTTTTTTTATAAAAAAAACACTACAGTATTGAATTAGTCCCAGAACAATTTATTTTTGAGGAGGAGGGGAGGTTTGGCTCAATAACGCTTTCAAATTATTTCATGGGAAAGACTGTGGAGATGATGATGATGATGATTTTCTATACTACTTTATATTTTAAAGAAGAAAAAAACTACAAGAAAACGACCCAGAATCAAACAGTGTGAAGGAGATGAAGTGCAGAATTCCCATTTAATGCAGCAAAGTTAACCCAAAAAGAAAATTAGCTATGCCTTTCAAAAGAAAACATTATTAAAGGAAGTAAAATATAAAATGCACATTTAAAATAGCATAATTGGCAAGAGAATAGAAAATTATGATGTTGGCATCCGTATGTCTCAGGAGATAATAATAATAATAATAATAATTTATTTATACCCCGCCCTCCCCAGCCAAGGCCGGGCTCAGAGCGGCTTACAAGCAATAATAAAAACAAGAAGAATGATTACAACTTAAAAACAAAAATAAAATACAACATTAAAATAATGGAACATTAAAATATTAAAATGTAGCCTCATTGCAGGAGGAGAAGGAAAAGAAAAAAGAAAGAGAGGGAGGGAGGGAATCAAATTGGCTCCAAGCCAAATTTGAATGAAAGAGTGAACCTTTCACTCACAATGAAAGAGTGAACCTTCAGGGGCAAAGTCAAACCATTGGAGAGTTACAACGCCTGCTGTGACTGGAGAGACAGATAAGGGAGAGACATGTTTTATTACAGATGGGGCAGAAGAAGGCACCGGTTTTTGCAAAAGCATAGAGCATATCTGCTGCTGTTGCTGCCAATCCTGCCAATAGTGGTTCATGGTGGGCAGCAGCGGTAGAAACTCAGGCTTGATGACCTGGATCTGTGCTAAGATACAGCCCAGATGGTCTCTGGCCTCTTCAGCAGCCTCAGCTTTTGTAGCTGGAGTCAGTCCTGACTCTTCCCTCCCAGGCCACGTGGGAAAAAGTCTGCAAAGCAGGGAGCAGGTCTTCCATAGCCAAGATGGCAGTGGCGTAGCGTGGGGGGTGCAGGGGGGGCCGGCCGCACCGGGCACAACATCTGGGGGTTAGGGTTAGGGGGCGCAAATCCACGGGTTAGGGGGCGCAAATCCATGGGTTAGGGGGCACAAATTACTTGCCTTGCCCCGGGTGCTGACAACCCACGCTACGCCACTGCAAGATGGTACAGAATAATGCTACATTCCAGCACAAACCTAGGATCTATCAAGACTGGTTGACATAGAGCTTTAAGTGATAATAGGAACCAAAGAGAAGCCCTGCTGGACCAGGCTAAAGACCCATCTAATCTATCTTCCTTTTCTCACAGTGGCCATCCTGATGCCTGTGGGAAGCTCACAAGCAGGACTTGAGAGCCACAGCACACTCCCCCCGTGGGATTTCCATCAACGGGGGTTCAGGGCCATGCTGCCTTCCTTGTGAAGGGAAATGGCAGAAGGGAAGGAAGACAAAGTTGAGAATGAACTTTGACCTGCAGGTGAGTGTCTACTTAGTGCCACTGAACTGTAACAGGAGATCATTTATAGCAAGTTGGCATTTTCATGTCAGCTTATCATCTTGTGAATCTCCTTAGTGTTTGATGGCTAATTCTCAAAACAGGAAGCAATAATTTAAAAGTACTGATTCATACCCAGTGTGATCAGAAACTTGATTTCTCTCAAGGTCTTTGTTCACATGCATTGGGTTATATTTGGAAAAGTGGATTGCTGCAGGGATAAATGGGTATGATTTGTTTTTCTTAGCTCCTCCAACAAAGTCCTTAAAAAAAAAAAAAGGCAAAACAGTTGCAAACACATGGATGACAATCTCGTACTGCCCGGGTTCTGAGATCTTCTGGAGAGACCCTAGAGCATTCTATTAAATTGCAGCAGCTTAGCCTATGGGAGCTCAGCAAAGCCATGCCAAGTTTCTAGCCCATTTTGTGAATATGTATGAGATGGTGTTATGGGTTGATATGCAAGTCTGCTGTTTAGTTGCTGCTTCCACCCTTCAGTTTCCTGTATGACTAGGTATTACAGGGAAGAGAGGCATTTTCTTATTTTGCACTGAGTTTTTGCAACTGGTGTTTGTAGATTAGATCTCTTTATTAAAATTCCTTTTCCACATGTACATCTGATATTCATGCACCAAGTTGAAAGAAAACAAGCTCCTCTCTCTCTCTCTCTCTCTCTCTCTCTCTCTCTCTCATTTTCTAACTGCTAATCTTTCCTGACAAGTTGAGAGCTGTTGACTGCAAGGTGGTTTGTTGAATCAAGATTCCACACTAAAAAATTTGGCGCCGCAGCATTAGTAATTGGAGTCTGAGCAAGCCCTACAAAAGCAGGCACACCCAGATTCTCTACCCACTTACCAGCATTCTTGCCACACCCAAGAGCAGGAGAAAACTCCCAACCAAGCCTTCAAATCTTGTAGCTTTAGGAGACAGTTCACCATCTTCCCTTTTTTTAAACCCTGGAGCTATAGATCTTGATTTTCATTGAAAATGGAGTTAGGTCAGGGTGACAAATCAATAAATGCTTGAGAAAGCACTCTGGTCCTGTACGTTTTGGAAATGAGAACAGAGAATGGTTCTTATGTGCTGTAAAATGTGGCTCAGATAAAATAATACACAGCAGCATCTGAGAGTAAAGCACCAGTGTTTGCTAGTTGCTGTAAATGTAGTGCTCGGGTTAGGAAATGGTCTCATAGAAGGTCAGGCTCCTTGTCCATCTAGCTCAGTATTGTCAGCTCTGAGGGGAGGCAGCTCAGCTCTCCAGGCTGAGAGTCTTTTTTGTGTTTAGACCCAGAGACCTCCCCCCTAAATAAATTCACACAAATTTTAGTTTTGGTTTTTGGCAGAATTTAGGCCACAACTTTATTGATTACAGAAGGTGAGTGGTTGCACAGGCTCTGGTTCGACTAGCTCCCTGCACCCTTGCAGGCAGCGCTGACCCAGGGCACCAGCATAGGTCAGCCAATGGTGAACACCTGTGTAGGCGAAAAGCTGGGAACAGACTATGTTCACCACCCAGATGCTCCCCTGGACTCAGGCATGGGCACAACCCCCTCTCGAGGGTTGACCAAACCAGTTGAGTCCCTGGATTCCTTTAACGGAATACCCTTCACATAGGGATGGCAAGAGCACTCTCCCATCCCTATCACCAGAACCAGTGCCTATCCACAACCTTACAAGTTGTGACGATTTGCTACACTGCAGGCAAAACCTAAATGGCAACAGCCAATCAGCCAAGTGGGGAAATTCCTGCTGTGCCCCTGTCCCAGCGACAGACGACACATGACGGCATAGCAAGGTCAGTCGCACAATGCCCTAAAATTAGGGAGAGGTAGGTGGGTGTTTTGAATGCATGAGCTGAAAGAGGAAGCTCTGGGTCACATGCATGGGTATATATAGGTCCCTCAATCCATTTAGACTGCGCCCCATTGGCCAGATTGAACCCAACATCAAGGGACCTTCCAATTGGGTGTTGTGGCTAACCCATCCAACCCACCCACAACACAGGAGGTCCATCTCCAGGTCTCACCACAACACATGCCGTCTTTTAGGGAGGACATGATCTGCCTCAGAGGTGGGAACATTTACTTTATTTCTTTTATTAGAACACCAAGATACACAAGCTAAAACTATATGCAAAAGACATCCACTTAGAATTAACAGGGTACCTCTGAGCACATTCTGAGCCTAGAAATTTGTTTTCAGTGCCAGACCTGAATTGAACTCACAGTCTGAATTGAACATACTACTTCTTTATATATCCCCAGAGAACTAGAGGGCCGTTTGATAAGCTATTTGAAGTTCTGTTCCTATCCATGTTCTATTCCAACTGCTCATATATGGGAGGCCCTGAATTTTTTTAGAGTAGAGGTTGTTGTTGTTTGCTCGTTCTCCTCCTGTGCCTTTTTCTGTTCTGATGTGACACCCAGAAACCTAAGCAAGTACAGCTGTTTCCAGCACAAGATGGAGCAGTGGGAAAGGTTATCTTCCTGTGCTTAGTTTTTGCATATCCAGCAGATGCTTAAAGGCAAAGGAGCAGTGGCAGTAAGAAGTCGTCAACCCTATTTGAAAGCAGAAAAATGAACTGAAATGCGGGGCTTTTCCAGACGCTGGCTTTTCAGAGGGTGGAGTGGGGAAATGCCACACAGCCATCAGTAATCCCTCAGTTATCCTACCTGATGACCTAATAGGTGCAGCTGCTATGAGGAAATCAGAATATCCCAGCAATCAGACTACAGGGTGGCAGAGCACAATGTTTTATAGGGAGAAGTCCCTGGTTTAATACCTGACACCTCGCTGCATGTACAAATGCTCTGACTGGGTATAGGTACCTTCCTAGGTTCCACAAAATGTAAATGTAATTGTTACAAAGCAGCTGACCAGTGGCAGAGCAAGCTGATTGGGCACCTGGGGTGGCGCGTGTGCCCTGTGTCCGTGGGGGCAGGGTCAGCCACCCATGGGGTGAGCCGGGGCAGGATGCTCCACGGGGCCTCCAAGGAGTCCGCCTGTCTCCTCCCACTCAGCAGCCTTACAGCTGAGGGGGAGGTGGCGGGCGGACCGTTTGGGGCAGCGTGGAGCCTGCAGGTGCCCAAGCCACTGTGTCACTCCCAGGAGAGAGACTTGGCTTGGGCGTGCTGCAGACCCGCGGTGAGTGCTGCCCAGCATTTTGTCACCCCCCTCAGTGGTGACACCCGGGGTGGACTGCCCCCACCGCCCCCTTTCTCCGCCCCTGCAGCTGACCCCCTTTTTGCTCTAGAAAGCACAACTGCCCTCCATCCACCCAAAAATGCTTTTGGGTTATACAGTGCTATTTTTCTAGAAAAAGAGATGCCAGAACTCACCATATTTCTCCACAGGAGACATAAATGCACGCTGGACACAGTAGTGCTATCTGACCAACTGAATATGCAATAAGAGGCAGAGCTTCTTTTTCAAAGAGTTGTGTGCCATTAGCCTGCGTAATTCAAATGAAGAAGAAATGAAATTCAGTCTAATGAATACTGAGTAAGTCACCTAAAGAAATGCACCTTTTTATTTTCACCATATCCATTGCTCTTTTCCTTGAATGAACTGGACATTTGAATGAGATTGCCAGAAAAAAATGTGGCTATATATTTTATGAGCACTGTTCACATGAAATATTACTCCTAAATAAGTGAAATGTGACCCATCTCTCATTTTGGATCAAGAGTTACTTGACTCAGAGTAACCTTGTTGAGACCAAACTCCTGAGGACATAATTCCTTTTCATTTATTTCATTTTGGACCTTTCACTCAAAGGAAGAGCCTTGGATAGGGATGCACAAATCTGTCAGTTTTCTTTTCTTTCACTTTCTCATCTTTCCAGTCTTAGATTCAGTTTTCCACATTTCTGCCTCAGCTTGTGATTTTATTTTATTTTATTGAAAACTTCCCCCATCCTGAAAATTCACTAGCCTTTTTGTTCAAATTTCTCCTGTTTATACAAGCAGTTCCCCCTAATATAATGCATGTTATATACGGTTTTTCACTAATATGTGCAATTTATTGTACATATCCCCCTAACAGACACATTTTTGTATAATGCAGAACTGCATTTTGAGAAGTGTGACTTTAGAAGGAAAGCTCTGCATTCTGGAAAGTGTGAATTAATCCTAACTGCACCAAATTCCTCCATCTCTTGGGTGGTTTTAGAAAACCAATATTCTTTTGAAAAGATTTACTTTGGAGTTATAGATTCCCTTACTTATGGGTACAACAAAGCAAAACCAAACTGCTCTCTTCCTGCTGTTTTAAAAGTTACTGTGACATATTTTCTTGAATTTATGTCCTTTTCTTAGTGGATGAAAAAATCCATAGTTCACATCGGTGAATAAACATGTGCTCATTGTCTAGGAGGTATAATGAGTTATATTGTAAATGGGTGTGTCTGTCTGAAGAGATCATTGAATCACTCCTTGTATCATTATTACTACACCCACAACAGCTTACTTCCCCAGGTGAGGCGTGTTTAAAATCAGAGATTGAAAGCACAAGAGGCCAGGTGTGGGATTCATGTTGACCCCAGCGAGCAAGAGGAGGAAAAATCCCAGAGAAGAAGCAGGTATGTTCTACAGAGTGTGGGATTGGGAGCTGTACATTATCCCACTTGGCACAGCTTCTGTGGCACAACGGAATTCTGTATTTTAGTTGAGAAACTGCTATTGTACTTCTAGCAGGCTGTCGATTCGTGATTGTGAGGATTTAGTTACAAAGCTTGCATTGTTTAGTCAAGTTTTGAATCAGTTATTCTAGGATGCTTGCAACATTTCCAGAAAGGTTAAGGGGGATTTCGCTATCCAGAATGAAGTAGACAAAAATAAAAATAAAATAAAATAAAGATAAACGCTGGGAACAATAGCACACGCTGCAGGTAAAAGTTGAGAAAGTAGCTTGCTTGCTGTGTCGATTGACATTTAAGAGTTATCTGTTTGCCATGTGTTTGTAGACTGATTTGTAAAAGAGAGCTTCAGAGGCAGCAAATTAGTCAGTCTCTGAAAAATAAGGTTCTCCAAAGTCCATGTGGAAATTTAGGGGTTTTTTTTGTTCCCCAGAGAGAATAGAATGAAAGAACTCAGCTGCAGTTGATTAGTGCTTCGGAGAGAGTCTTATCTTTTATGTATTTAAAGAGGTTTTATGCAAATGCAAATAGGCAAAAGGTGAACTGAGAAGAAGCTATTATGTCCCTAAGCTAAAGAGGGCATCTTTGAAATAGCCACATTTTAGAATCAGTCTCTCACACAAGCAAGCTGGGCAGTGAATATTAGGCTATGCATAACTTTGGCCTAGTTTTGCATAGGGTGCACAGAAATGCAGATGTGAGCCATATGAATTGCACTGTCAGTCTTATATTAGATATATGTCAAAGTGCAACTGAATGCACAGTCAGAACTACAGAAAACTTTTATTACTGATCCTATTGTTCCATTTGCATCTTCAGCGTTAGGAATGAGCTGTGTCCCATAAATCATTGTTTCTGAATTTAAAGGGGGTTAATGCTGATATGTTCCCAGGCAGCTGACAGTTTTTCCATGACTGCATTTCCCCATTCACTGCCATGAAGAAGGCATTTGTGTTATATATATGTGCTTGTCTGTCTATCTGTCTATCAAGTGCTTTTTTCTGAAAAAATGTTTAGGGGTACTCTCATTTTCCTACTCATATTGAAATACTGCCCCTTAATGAGGCAAAACCCACAAGATGTTTAGGGATATGCCCCCCCCCAAGCACTGTATCTATCTATCTATCTATCTATCTATCTATCTATCTTGCACAAAGCTGTCTCCACCACTGAACGGACTAGATAGCGGTCTTGGCTAGAGGAGGCCTGTGTGACAATGTGCATTTTATCCCTTCCATCTGCTTCCTTCTGCATTGAGTTTGCACTTCTTTACATTGCAGAAGCAACCACAGTGAAATGGCATAATTGCAAACCAGTGGTACAAAGCTGGTAACCAGAGATAAGTTAATGGGTTGAGGGATTGTCCTTTTCTGTGTCTTCATCTGTGCCACTGAATTTATGCTTTACATTCATTTCAGGTGAATTTTTAGCGTTACGAAATCTCAGCATCATGTGGATATTTCTTTTTTTTCTGGGTAAGTGTTGGCATTCTAAGCATGCATCTACCAAAAAGAAAATGAAGTCTTTGAGATTTGTTTTTCGTGAAAAGCACAGAGGTAAAATCAGTTGTCCAAGATGGTTGGATATAATCTCTAACTGAAACTGGTTACAAATTGTATGCATTCTACTAAAGACCACTCACAATAAGTACTTGGTGTTAAGATAGGGACAACCTCATCTTTGATATCTACCAAAATCAAAATATGCTACTGAGTAGTAGGCTGGGGCAGAAATTATAGATGTAGCAGGACAGAGGCGCTTACCTGACCTCCTGGCAGGTGAGTCGCTGCTGCTTACCAGGAGGGGGATGCAGGTGGTGCTGTGGTCTAAACCACTGAGCCTCTTGGGCTTGCTGATCAGAAGGTCAGAGGTTTGATTCCCCGCAGCGAGGTGAGCTCCTGTTGCTTTGTCCTGCCAACCTAGCAGTTTGAAAGCATGCCAGTGCAAGTAGATAAATAGGTACTGCTGCAGCGGGAAGGTAGACGGTGTTTCTGTGTGCTCTGGTTTCCACCACAGTGTTCTGTTGTGCCAGAAGCGGTTTAGTCATGCTGGCCACATGACCTGAAAGCTGTCTGTGGACAAGCACCAGCTCCCTTGGCCAGAAAGCTAGATGAGCGCCACAACCCCATAGTTGCCTTTGACTGGACTTAACCGTCCAGGGGTCCTTTACCCCTTACCTTTCATTTACCAGGAGGGGAACGGGGGCTGTGAGGTTGCTGTGGTGAAAACACACAAGAGAACACGCAGTCTTAGTGGAGGGATAGCTCAGTTGGTAGAGCATGAAACTATTAATCTCAGGGCCATGGATTCAAGTGAAATATTCCTGTATTGCAGGGGTTGGACTAGATGAACCTGAGGATCCCTTCCAATGCCACAATTCTATGAATCTATGAATGATCAGCATATTACTCGTATCAGTTAAAAAGATGGGTGGCTGTTTGACATAATAGCATAAATAGTGCTTTTGAATATTTAAGGTAGATACATTATCTCAGTAATCCTTTCAACAACCCTTTAAGGTGGGTCAGTATTGAAGAGACCTGCACGTATTGCAGATTAGGGGCAAATGTGTGCAGTCCTGTACATGTCTACTCAGAAGTAAGCCCTGTTTAGTCAACTGGGGCTTACTCCCAGGATGGGTGTCTGAGTGACCACCTTGATGCCATTGAGTCCACAGCAGGAAGTGAGATTTCACAGAACCACTTCTAATTTCTAGTTAATTCACAACCATACTACACCAGCTGTTACGTTATCTCTGACGGCTTCTGGGAAACCAGCAGGTTATACGTTGCTATGATGATCTTTAAAATCTCCTTTTGTCTTTATTAACTGAAATTTGGTTCTTGTTTCATTCTAGCTTCACCACACCTCCTGGCTGCCCAGTCTACCTGCTCACATGGAGCTTGTTATCCACCTGTGCGAGACCTTCTGGTAGGAAGAATCCATCACTTGAAAGCCTCTTCTACCTGTGGACTTGTCCAACCTGAAACTTACTGCACTCCATATGGGGAAGTACGTATGGCATAAGTATCTTTTATTCACACAGGAAAGGTACATTGTCTAGCAGCACTGGCTGTCGTTTTGTGTTCGCCACTGAACAGAAATGGCAGTATTTAAACACTAAGGGGCCTCCTCAGCTTCCCAGAATATGCAATGCCTGGTTGCAGAGAAGTATCAGAATTTTAATCAGGCTTAAAGGCAAGAAGTAAAAACGTTAGATATTTCCCATAGGCTTCAGTTCTCCTCCATAACACATCCGACAGGGGCCAAGTTACATGTTGCAACAAGCAATAATGTTCTGTATGCCTTTTCTGTTTTGATTGGTGCCCTTATTTGGTCAGTCCCTATGTGCCTCAGCATCAGGGGAAATTTAGGCTCCTCGTGTTAACTGTATTCATATCTTTTTGTTTGTTTGTTTTGCCCTTGTTCATTGAATGTCAGAGACATTCAGTTTTTACCTGTAGGAGTTTCTTGATTTAGGGCCTATGAGCACAGAGGTGGTTTTTTTTAAAAAAAATAATTACGTAATTTATATCCTGTACATTCCAAATAAATTTATGTTCTCAGGATACCCAACAGAGTTGTAATTTAAAAATAAATAAATAATGTGTGCAAACAGATTTAATTTTTGGGGGGGCCCCCAAGAGAGTGGGGCCCTAAGCTATAGCTTGTTTAGTTTATACATAAATCCGGCATTGATTGCGCTCACGTTCAGCACTAAAGATGACTCATAATGTAACTGTCTGGATGTTACCTTCAAATTTGGTCTCCCAAACACACACACTTTTCTTTGCTCTCAGTGAAGAAAAGTACAGTGGTACTTCGGGTTACATACGCTTCAGGTTACAGACTCCGCTAACCCAGAAATAGTACCTCGTGTTAAGACCTTTGTTTCAGGATGAGAACAGAAATCATTAGCTAAAGTGGTGCTTCAGGTTAAGAACAGTTTCAGGTTAAGAACGGATCTCCGGAATGAATTACCGTATTTTTCGCTCTATAAGATGCACCAGACCACAAGACGCACCTAGTTTTTGGAGGAGGAAAACAAGAAAAAATATATATTCTGAATCTCAGAAGCCAGAACAGCAAGAGGGATCGCTGCGCAGTGAAAGCAGCAATCCCTCTTGCTGTTCTGGCTTCTGGGATAGCTGCGCAGCCTGCATTCGCTCCATAAGACGCACACACATTTCCCCTTACTTTTTAGGAGGGAAAAAGTGAGTCTTATAGAGCAAAAAATACGGTAAGTACTTAACCCTGAGGTACCACTGTAGATCAATAGGAGAGAAGCCACTTTTTCCATGAAATGAAGAAGTCCACCAGGTACATTTCCACTTTGCATGCAAAATGATGCCACCTGGATTTGGGAGGACTGGGACATGGCAACCGTCTTCCGACTTGGCATGCGCCAGCCACTTGCTCTGTATCAGCTCTGCAGTTTAATAAGTCAGTGCTGTGAAGACAAAGTGGCAACAGTTTCATCATCCATCTGCCCTTCCCCCTTGTTTTGGGCCCCAAGCTTCCTGGTGTACTGTTAATGAGGCTGTGTATCACGTTCCTCACTTTTGTGCCAAACGGTGGAAAAGTTTTAAAGTCCTTTTTTTTTTTTTTTTGCAACCTCTGCACAGGGTATGGGAGGAGGGGCTGCATTCGCTTGCTTGCTTTCCTCACACTCTGCCCTGCTGGCCAATGTGCACTGTCTGAGTCTGGTGCCAATGAGAGAAGTGTCCCAAAGTGTGTGTTTTGTGTCCCAGAGTCTTTTGCAATCCTGGTAAGTTCCGTGCTGATGGAAGCACTCCAATCCCGAGCCTCTCGTCTGCTGCCTTTGCTTTGGCTGTGATTCCTTCTAACCTTTATACTTTGTACCCCCACAGAGGCAGCCTCTCGCCCAGGACTAGGCAAAGTGCAGCCTCCACTTCCACTATTGCAAATTATGCAAAAGGGGGCATTAATCCTGATCAGTGATTTGGAGGTGCTTGACCTCAGACTCTGGCTTGCCAAGAGATAAATCTTGGGTCCTATTAGAATCCTACATTAGTTTCCATCTCTTTCTCATTCTGGGTCAATAAAAATGGGTTGCCAGGGTTGCCACTGGCAAGGCTGCTATGCATTTAACAGCCATGGGACAGGCAGAGGTTTAACTGGTGATGTTTTTTCTAGCACACAGATGGAGGTGATCTTCAGTTGAAATTCTGTCTGTTTTGCTCCTTAATTAAGGAAAAAGCCCTTTTAACTGCACTTTTTAACAAAGGTTTTTGAAGCAGTTTCTAATCTTAGAGAGTAGTAAAAACCAGTCAAACATCCAATTTAAACCATAGCTGGCTATAACTTAAAGTGGATTTGTTTTTATTATGTGTTAAGTTGTTGTGACTCATCCCAATGCAATAAGGAGTGGGATAAAAATCTCCCTTATTTTATCTTCACAACAACCCTGTGAGGTAGATTTTCGGCTGAGAAGTAATGGCTGGCACAGGGGCATTCAGTGTGGATTGTGGCTGAACAGGGATTGGAACCCAGGTCTCCACTCAGCGCTCTAACTACGTAGGGTTAGGGTTAAAGGGACGAGAGCCATCACAGAAAAAAGTGGCAGCTCTGGGGGCAGATTATTGAGCTGACTGAAATCATATAATTAACCTCTTTCTGGTACCTGCTGTAATGGTGCCTCCGTAATAGGCATGGTACCTCTGATTGTCTTTCAAATAGTGGTGGGAGCATTAAAATATTACAGTATGATAGCATTTTGGATAGTTTCAGTGGCAGGGAGGGAAAACATCTGAGAGGCTGGTTGAAATATTCCATTTTCAATCTTTATGTGAAGTGCCTTCCACAGTTCCAGCTTTTTATGGTGAGGCAGATAATCTTGGAGGCTTATACATGAACTCGCCAGTCTAACTTTCCTCAGTGTTTGTTATATGAGAGGCCTTGGATATTAAGACTGCTGTTTGCATTAGGTCAAGGACATCAGACTCTCTCACCATTATCTTGCCTGGCAGTGAGGGGGCTATTAATGCATGATAATCACAAAGAGTGAGAAGATGCTTTTATCATCTGAGATATGGCAGGATAAGAGAACTATGTCCGTGTACACACACACACACACACACACACACACACACAGTAAGCCAAGGAAAGTGTCAGGTACTGTCTGTGGGGCCCTGGGCTGGATAGGTCCTGCGGAGATCCCTCTGTGGGCAGGATTGTGTGTGTGTGTGTGTGTGCGCGCGCCCACGATTTCCGGCATCTGCGCAGATATGATTTCTGGCGCCGCGTGAGTCCCTGTGCCGCACTGCACCAGTTTAGTGCAGCACGTGAGCGGGTGGCTCGGTTTGGGAGCAGCTTGTGGGCCGGTCAAACGACCTCCGTGGGCCGCTCTGAGCCCATGGACCTTAGGTTGCTGACCCCTGGTTACTGCCCTAAGCCTGCTTACTCTGAAACCAATCCTATGGAACTCAGTGGAACCTACTTCTGAGTAAACAGGCTGAGGACAAGATTATAAATCATAAAAAAGCAGGTGAGTTACGGCAAAAGAGTTACAGCAACTTTTCAAGACAGGTAGAGGTGGTACTATACATAGCTATTAAGCAACTAATCATACTTGTTCTTCTTCTTCCTTGGCTTTTATCATAAGTCAGGATGGTATAGTGGTTAGATGGTTGGTCTAAGACTGAGAAGAGCTGGGTTTTGATCCCCACACAACCATGAAGCTCAGTGGGTGACCCTAGGTCAGTCACTCTTTCTCAGCCTAACCCTTTTTGCTGGGTTATTGTGAAAAGAAAACACGAGAAGGGGGGGGGCATGTGCACTGCCCTAAGATGCTTGAAGTAAGGGCAGAATCTAAAAAAAGTGTAATGTCAGAGCTGGGTGAAAGTGACCTCAATTTCTTCAGCCTCTCCAGAAGCCACAAATTTGTGGGTGTCAATTTTGCTGGATATTATCCAGAGATAACAAGACATTTGAAACATTCAAAACACCCACTTCTATAAAAAAACAAACCTGTGTCTCATGAAACCTCATATAGGTTATTAATATTTCCATTTTATGAATATTGAACTGAGGCATGCAGATAGGGATATTCTGAAAGCCTTTTCAAGTTTCACTTGTTTTGTGGAAAAACATGGCTTCAACTGGCATACTCCAGAGCACAGAATTGGGAGCTTCCAGTAACAGCAACAAACCTTTCCACTAGGGCATTCCTTGCTTGCATCCCCTTTTTACAGGGATGTGCTGTAACCTGTACAGTTCAAATCCTTGCCGGCATTTCCTGGCCTTTCCATTTGTCATCTGTTAAGGCTGTTGGTCTTCTGCAGAAGCCCATAATCTTCATGTGTGTTTCTTTGCAGTGGTAAGGAGACAGCACTGTTCAGCCCAGCATTCACATAAGAATGGCTGGCTGGTGTGTTGTGGTTTCTCCAATCTGTTGCTTGAGCAGTTTCCCCTCAAAAGGTTTCTTATGAAGAAGGGGGAGAAAGGGCTGAGTGAACAAGTCTCTGAGACAAGCGCTTGCACGTTTGCCAAATGAAATAGGAGTTAGGGGGATTGCTTCATCAGATTCAAGCAGCACCACTCTCTAGATTTTGATTGCAACTTGCTACTAATTCTTCAGATTCTGTCCAGTCAGGGAAAATACTAGGGTACACACCAAAAAGCTGCTTTTGGCATTGGGTGGTATTTGCTGATTGGACTTACTGTGGTTGGATGTGGATGATGAGGGATTCGTTGAGTGATTGATTATATATCGATGCTACTTTTCATTCAAATGAATTCCAAAGCAGCTTACGATAACATGACAGAACATAATAGAACATCACAAATACAGCATAAATCTCATAGAACAATCAACAAATCATAGTAAAACAATCAGTCTACAAAACTATGTTAATAAAGCAACAACTAAAAAAATAAGCTAAATATGACAATTAAAGCGAAAGTCATGTTATACGATTAACAAATTGATACAGCAGTTAAAAACTGTAAAACAATATAAAAAAATAGCAACCGAAATATAAACTGAGCACTGCTTCAAAAGTCTGCTTAGCCATTAAACTCAGAGGGAGACCTTTGGCGAGTCACAAACTCAGTTTGTTTGTTCTCAGTTGTACTTGTTTCTGTAAGGGGAAAATGTTATGCTACCCTGAGCTTCTTGGAAGGGTGATGGGTTATGAACGTGATAAATAAGCACAGGATTGACTTTTGAGTTGTAGTCAGAGAGATGAAAATAGGTGAAACTATTTGTGAGTGGGTGGGTGTGTCTCTTAAACATCACCAATAAAAGAGGAGAAAAGAGAAAACAGTTTTGCATAAAATTTGCCTGTGCTAATTGATATGTATAGATGTAAATTTAGAAATATTACTATAATTTAAATAGAATGAATCTCACCATAGTGGAGAGATTGTGATTGGGGATCTTTTCTGCATGTTCAGTCAGTTGCCCAGTACTGAAAGCTCAGCTGATGGTCAATTTCAATGCCCCTGCTCTCACTTCTTATGGTTCTTTATCTATACATTAAATTGGATTTGGATTGGACAGCTCTTACAAACAGAGGGCTGCCCTCTCTAAAAGAGGACACAGGGCCATCCTGAGCAAAACAGTTGTCTGAAGGAACTGAAAAACTGGTAACAACTTATGTGTATAAATGATAATATTAAGATAGGCTGGTTTTTCAAAAGACCTTCAGGCACTTAAGCTGTCCTGGTGCCCCTCCTGGCTGTGGTGGCACTGCTGTTCACCAGAACTGTGACAGAGCACATAGGTTGCGGGGGGGGCACCAAGTTGGCAGCAGTGGCAGGTGCAAGTGTGCCAGAGATTGGTCCCAGAGAGTGGCAGCACCACTGCAGCTGGAGGATGGGGCAGCGGTGATGCCTCACCTCATGCAGCCTGACTGAACCTAAGTTGATACTTTGCAGGGAATCAGGACTGCTACCTTTCTCCTTATTTAAGTCCCATCCTTTGCAGCTGTATGACTTATTTTACTTCAGATAATGCCATGCTACCTTTCAGGGCGAAGCCCTTCTGAGATGCCTCACACACCTAGCAAAGTCTTAGGGCTAAGATATGGCTGTTTTTAAGCCTGATACCAAGCAAATTTACCTTTCAAAGTTCATACGGTGACTATATAATGCATGCACTGTTACAGTATGTACTGTGTGAGTCATTCCACTCTGGCACATCGATTAGCGGTTTACATACACAAAGTGTGCACTGTTACTAATTTCCTGCTGCCCTCAAATGCTCCTGCCTCGTATATGTTTGTTTAAGGCATATGCTGTTAACTTGATTATTAGATCAGCTGGTAAATCTGACTTTTAATCAGGGGAAAGCAGCAAACTAAATGGTATAATGTTGATTTAAACAGCTTGATTTATACAGTCCATTGCTCTTGAAAGGACGGCGCTTGTGTCCTTGCATGGCATCTCTTAAAAATGTCAGCCTATAAATCGCATAACAGGGCCCTCATGGGATTGGTTCCAGACGGAGCTGAAATCATTACGGCATGCAGAGTTAAGATCAATTCCAGCATTTTTAAAGGTACTTGAGTTAAGATTACAGGCTGTTTCCCCATTCTCTGTGCAACATACTGGGAACGAGCCAAGCTCATTCTTCTAATTTAAGTGAGGCCTTGTCAACATCACTGTGTTAGAGGCAGTATCTCTAAATGGGCATGCCAAAGCTGCAAAATAAGTTTTCCACAGGCACTGTGCATGAGCGATATGTTTCAAGGTGGGGCTGAGACGAGACTGTGTGGCTACAAGTATGTGTCAGGGAGTTTAATCTTTTTTACGGTAGTGGAATAACCAAGAATGCATGGTGTATAGTTGGTGAACATAAGAATAGCCTGCTGGATCAGGCCAGTGGCCCATCTGGTCAAGCATCTTGTTCCCACAGGGGCCAACCAGTTGCCAATGGGGCACCTGCAAGCGGGACATGAGTGCAACAGCATCCTGCCCACCTGTGATTCCCAGCTGCTCATATTCAGAGGCATGGCTCCTCTGACAGTGACAACATGGAACTAAAGGACAATAGGGAGCTTGTAGTCTTCCAGCTGTAGCTGGACTACATTTGCAGACCCCTACCACCCCTGGCCATTGGCTGTGCTCACTGGGGCTAAGGTGAGCTGGAGTCCCACAACATCTGGAAGGCCATAGGTTCCCCAAGGTTGGATCAAGGGGTCCCTCTGGACTGTTGTTTATTTGCAGGAGTAGTCTGCAACATGTCATTGATAGAATGCAGCAGTGGTGGAGTGTTTAAGAGGTTCCTGTTAGAATGGTTCCTGTTCACTCACTACTTGGTTTTGCAGTTTTGGCTGACAGCAGGTGAACAAAGAAACATGGCTATACATTTTGCACAGCAATAACCGTTTCTCTCATGCTCCAGCCTAAGAACTCCAGCACCTCATGATATTTTTTTTGGGGGGGAGACTTCTGCCATTTGTTATGTTGAGCTTTTAGGAATGCATGCTTATCACTGAAAGAATATTTCAAATTACTCAGTATCACTTTATAAGCACCCAGCTATATTCAGGGTTGAGCAGATATTGTGCATTCCTGGGGCTAGTATCAATTTCCTGGAAATCTTGTGTGTAATTTTCTCTCTTGCCTCTGTCCATTTCATACAGTAGGAACTGCTTTTGTTGCCACATGACATTTTTCCTACAGGGATATAATTTTCTGTTCAGCGAAAAGTATGTGTGCATGACAGTACACACGTTTTATAATAAACATGCATGCTGGGAAACCAGTTAGTACCTTGACTTTTTTTTTTAAAAAAAAGCAATGGTAGCTATGGGGAGGGAATTAATGGGATAATATAACATCATCTTTGACACCCTGGATGGCATTCTTGGCCAACACTCCCCTTTCTTCACAGAGATGCAAAGTATCTGAGAGCTCTATTTTTGGAGCTGTCTTGTATGATGCGACTTGATGCTATATTTTCACTGGACTTAGGCATATAAAAAGTGTATTGTGTAACCCAGCTTTAATGGATGACCTTGCTCTGGGCTGAAATATAATTCCTCACAGTCCAGATCCTGCCAATTCTTGATAGATCTTTTCACTCTCTCTTTTTCCGAAAGTCTTAAGTAGCATCCCAGCTCCTCCCTGACACATTGAAGCCAACAGTGAACAGTTCCATTAATAGCACAAATGTAAGGCCATAGAAATCTTCAATTTGAGAAGCTGGTTATTGACAGGCTGGGATTGAGAGATAAGGCCAAATACGTGACCATGAAGTGCCCCAACCAAGCACCAAAGGTTTACACATGGGCTTTCTCATGCTAGAGGAAGCAGAATGGAAGGGTATCTTTGCTGAGATGTTGCAATTCCGCCTTTGGTTTAATATGCACCCACATGTTCCATTAACTGGAGAGACTATACATATATTTACTCACTAAGTCAGCTTAATATTCTCTCCTTGAGGCGAATGACCTTCCTTCAGTTCCAAGGTCACTGGGATAAACAATGTGCAAGTTCATCTGAGGAAACAGGCCTCTGTGGAAGTGCACAATGTGGGTGGGGGTGAGTGTTTTTTGCAGCAGCTCAGCTATTTGCCTTGCATTATAATGCAAGTGATCTGCTACAGAGAGGCACATAATGCAAAAAGCACCCAAACAGTCACACATAAAACTGCTATAAGGAGCTTGTATGAACTTTGTACTTGGACTAAAGCTGCTTGCATTCATTCCTCCTCCTGCCTCTCTCCTCACTGCTTGACTGCATGTTTAATTAGGGTTTAATTGGGAAGAGCCCCAGTTTGGTTTGGGATTCAGCCAAATTGGGGGTACAGCCCTGCTGTTTTATCCTGAGTATAGTTCTGCTGCTTCATGTCCAGCTTTCAGGAATTTCAGCTTTTCCTGAAATGTTCTTACCTTACTGGGTATTCCTTTGCCACATTTTTACACAGGACGTTTGTTTGTTCTTTAAAATAGGCTTTCCTCTTGGCTGCCTATTTTGCAGTACCACAGCAATTGATTTGCCAGCTAGCCAGAAAAGAACAACAGCAGCAACCCTGGCCTAGTCTGTCCCTTCTGGGCTTTTTGCTGGCATCTGATATATAGAAAATCAGCCCTGGAGTCTTTTCATAGCATGGAGCTAAATATTATCACAGGCGAAATTGCTGCAGCTCAAATTGCTCTTAAAGGGACAGTGTAAAAACTGGTGAAACCCCACAGAGCTCTCTTTCACCCCCTGCCCAATTTGTTTACATCTCAGATGCTGGGGAGCACGGCTATATGCCCCGCAGAGCCCTCCTTTTGAAAGTTCCTCTATTTGAAGGGCTGTCCAATCCATGTCCACCTTTATAGAAAAAGAACCTGAATCCTGGTCAGACCAAAGTGCTGGGGGTGAATGGGGCAAAATATGCAGCCATGCAACTTGCTCAGTGTTGAACTTGCTCTAAGACTATGTATCTTATGATGCCGTGTTATCTCAGTGCAAAAGAAAAAATTAGGGGGCCAACATTCAGCTGGAAGACAAAGTAGTGAATTATGAGGGTGGAGCTGGATGAATTCCATGGATCTGTCCATGGTAATCCACTCCTTGCTGCAAGCATGATGATCTAACTGTCTTGATGGTTCTGACTCATCACCTCACAGACATTTATCTGCTCAGCTGGACATACAACCTAGAATTAAGGTACCTGCATGAACAAGAATACTTTTTCACAGTTTCCCCCCTATTCAGAAGTGGACTCTATGCGTGGAATTTATAACCTTTGAAAACCAAGCCTTTTACATCACTTCCAGATCTTTAAAGCCTGGTTGAGCTGTGATTTGCAACTGGGGAGTTTGGGGCCTGGGGGAAGCCCTCCTTCTCCATGCCATTTCCGTCTCCCGTATCTCCCTTCCCCTGATTGCTTTCCCTTGAATTTAGGTTCAACACTCAAGCCTGCCCTGAAAACATGGATCTAGAGTGGGTGTGGGGAACCTCACCCTCTGGGTGCTGCTGAACTACAACTCAACTGGACATACAACCTAGGGTCAAGGTACCTGCATGAGCATGAATACGTTTTCACCCTGGCCATGTTTGCTAGGGCTGATGGGTGTTGTAGGTCAGCAGCATCTGAAGGACCAAAGGTTCCTCACTCCTAAAAGTAGGCTGGTAGGAGGGAGTTCCTCTCCAAAACTTTGTTACTGCTAGGTCTATAAATTTGCATAGGAGAAACAAATAGCCTGGCATGAGGCTCAAGTGCACTGTGCAGTTCTTCTAATCATAGGTTAAATCTGAGATGGAGAACCTGTGGACCACAGCTCCTGTCATCCATGGCCACTGGCTGATAGGAGTTGGAGCCCAGTAACATCTGGAGGGTGCCAGGTGCCCCATCTCTGGGTTAGGCAAACACTTGGAGAGAAAATAGGCAATGTAAAGGTCTGAATAGGCAATGAGTGAGATATTATATTGCACCCTTCCCATGGGATCTCTTGGTTCCAATTGGCTACCAAAGGCAACAGAATGAAAGAAGTTGACAAATGTTCCCCACTCTTCCTTATCTCCTGGTGATAGGGAAGAGTAGAGGACATTGGTTCAGGAGATCTCCACCATTTTTCTCATGAGTAGGCCCTTCTCTGTTCCTGGCAAGGGGACTAGCCGGCAGCTTCATGTCCTCTCCTTCCTGGTCAGCTGCAAGAAAAACACAACTTTCTGTGGCCTCTGTGGTTAGGCTACTGAGCCCTCCACAGTTTGAGTTGTTTCACCTCCTTGATCCTCTTGCCCTCAATTCCTGTGTCCCATAGCCTCAGTACAGTGGGAATACTGTTTCCTGAGCCTACCCTTCATATGCCTATATTCTTGATCATAGAGATTGTGCCCTGTTCATTTAGCCACAACCACACTTGACCCCGAATAAGTGGCGAGTAAGGGATTTGTGCATTTCTGTCAAATGTCAGCCTTCCCAGTTGTGATGTGTCCATTATATCTGGCAGCCAAAGTGATCTGTAGAGATCTTCCAAAGCAGGGTGACCTTCAGTTCAGCCAAAATAAAATCCATAGTTTTAGTTTATGGGGCAGGGACCCTATCTTCCCAGAGGAACTTTGAGACACACACCTCCTCATGAAAGCTGCAGTTTCAACAATGGGCAGAAAATACCCTCCAAAGCAGTGGAAAGGTTACACAGCTTGCTCAAGAAAGCAAACGTCCCATGCGTCTGCCCCCAGTGTTAATTTTAGCCTCCCCAAATATTGAAAAAGAGCACAATTTCGACACTGTGGTGGGTTGCCACATGAAATGATTATTTCAGGGTCCAAGTGTTTCAGTGTCTGGGCATGAAGGCATCCAAACTTGGTAGGCAGCACATCTGGCATTAGCGTGATCTTGATTTGAGGGAACGCAAGGTCCTGCTGGAATTCTAGCAAACTTTTTGCATAGTATATTGTGCTAAGCAAAAACGGGCAAGATTTTGAAGGGTTCCATCTTTGTGAGAGAGCCTGGGAGAAGGACAATCTCCCTTGGTGTTTCAGTACATACCTTATTCACGTTTCACTGAGGGAAACTCATACAACAATGGCAGGAGCAGGGGTTTAAAACTGTAAGGAGAAACCAGTGATGGGAGCAATCTTCAGCTATTGTCCTGCTCCATTTCCTCCAGCCGGTCTGTGTTTCACCTGTGGCCAGGTGAAAGCTGCTGGCACCAGAGGAAGAGATGAAGCATTGGAGGCTGTGCTGGATGGTACCTGCACATTTCTGAGCTCATTGCACATCGTGCTGGAATGCTGGAAACAACATACAAAACCCTGGATCATCAAGACCACGTGCAAGCTAAGAGTTGCATCCCAGCATCCTCTGTGATATTATAGGACCAGAGTAGACAACATGGTGCCCTCTACACACTGTAGAGTCCAACTCCCATCAGCTCCAGCCAGCATGGTCAGGGATGGTGGGATTTGTAGTGTGGCAGCATTTGGACAGTACTATGCTGGCTATCCTTGTTGTAGGGGATGCTGGGGTATATCACCCCTAGCTAGCAAGGCCAGAGCTCAGGGATGATGGGAGTTGTAGTCCAACAACATCTGGGGACCCACAGGTTGAGAACCGCTGCTCTAGTGCATAGAATGTGGCAAAAAAATATGTTTATAGCAGATGTCCGTCTTTCCTTACAGGAAACTCCATAGTATTGCGGGACATGTCATGGGTATGGAGTTCAGAGGGACAGCTTTGATAGTAAATTAAAACTGATTGGGTTAGATAAGAGTATGCTAGATGAAAGGTTCCTGTCCTAAATATGAACCTTGTAACAGGTATTGCTGAGCAATGATGAATGAGCTGAGAGTCCATTATATTGAACCTCTGCACCTGTGTAAAGGCCATAGACTTCTATAACTGCACCCTCTGCCTCTGCCTCCCCTCTAAAAAGCTCTTTTTAGAGGGGAGGCAGGGCCCACTGTGTGACCTTGGGCCAGTTTCAGTCCCTACCTCACAGGGTTGCTGTGCAGATGAAATGGGTGGAGAACTTTGAGCTCCATGGATGAAAGGTAGGATATAAAAATGTAATCAATAAATAGGCATCTGCTAAGTCACTAGATAGCCTGGTTGTTGTTGTTTTTAAAAAAATTCTTTAAATAGTCAGGACTTAACCGGATCTGTCATCTTTTAGTATTTGTTTGCCAAGTTGGGACTGAAGTCTCTTTAAGCCATTTGTGCACAAAACCATTAGGGGATATCCAGGCCTGCTTCTTGAATTACTCACTCCAGCTGAGGGATGACATTTGCTCGGCTTGACTTTCCACCTAGTAACCTTTCACCCACTGAAGCTGCCTAACCTCTGCTTGACTCTTTTTTGGGGGAGAGGGTGTTAAAGGGTCTAGGTTCAAACTATCTTGAGATTTAGATAAAGGTTCCTTTGTTTGCCCAAATGAAACATCCCACCACAAAAGCTTGACCAAGCCCTGCAAAGTTGGGTACTTGTGGCTAACCTTCTGCTGCATGGCAAATATTGTCACAGGGACATTTTTGGCGGTTTGAAGACTTCTCTGATTAAATTGAAGGTGCGAATTTAATCTTGTGTACCAAACAAAGGATATAAACTGGTGAGCCAGAATGTACTGTTCTCCTTTGTGTTTAGGGGGATCTGAAGTTGAGCAAATACTAAGTGGCCACATGTGAAACTGGGGGAAAGAAGTCCATTTTCACCATAGTTGAACAGTGGGTGTTCACCCCTTGATCTGAAGCCCATTCTTTTTCTACTCTGTCATCCTTTAAACTATGCAACTAGTAAAGTCGCTCTATAACTTCAAGGCTTTTTTTGTTTTAAAAAATCTGTTTCTTGACAAGCTTGACATTTCTTGACAAGCTGTCCAAATTTCGGAGTGTAGCAGTGGTTACAACCCATGTCTTTCTACCCTTTTGCTCATGCCCTTGGACATCATTCTCCGCATCAGGGATAGGGAGCATGTGACTCCCCTGATGTTGCTGGACTACAATTCCCACATCCCTGACTATTGGCCATGCCACCTGGGGCTGATGGGAGTTGAAGTCTAACAACACCATGAGAGTTGCAGGCTCCCCATCCCCGCTTTACACTCTAGAGCAGCCTTTTTCAACCTGTGGGTCCCCAGATGTTGTTGAACTACAACTCCCATCACCCCTAGCTAGCAAGGCCAGAGCTCAGGGATGATGGGAGTTGTAGTCCAACAACATCTGGGGACCCACAGGTTGAGAACGGCTGCTCTAGAGTTTCCTTTATCTCTACTGTACAGTGGGCTATAGAATATTTTTGGCCAATAAGTAGCAAACCTTAAACCCCAAAGCATCCCATGAAGAAGGATGTCAAATCTATCCGGCATAGCTTCAGCTCTTAGATCTACTTAGCATTGGTCTCCTAAATCTAGAGTTCCAGTAACGTAATCTCAGAGGTATTGAACAACCCAAGAAGAAGGACATACTTCCTAATTGGTATTGATTTTTATTTTATTTAAAACATCACTATACTGCCCTTTATCAGTCAGGCAAGGATGGTACGTAACAAGGTAAAACAGTTCCAGGAAACTCGGCTGGTTAAAATACAGTAAAAATACACCAAGTGGTAAGATCTATTAAACTATGCTCGGCTTTTCTTGAGGTTTGAGTGGCATCCTTACTTGGACTTTTGGGACACCTTTGTTATGTTCAGTTTTGAGCTTTTTTTATATGGTTGTGTGCACTTCTCTCTCTGTGTGTGTATGTGGTCCTCAACCTTCTGTCTTCAAAGTTTGGTGAAATTTTGGTTTTTATAATGGAAAAAAAAAATATGAATCATAGAATCATAGAGTTGGAAGAGACCACAAGGGCCATCGAGTCCAACCCCCTGCCAAGCAGGAAACACCATCAGAGCACTCCTGACATATGGTTGTCAAGCCTCTGCTTAAAGACCTCCAAAGAAGGAGACTCCACCACACTCCTTGGCAGCAAATTCCACTGTCGAACAGCTCTTACTGTCAGGAAGTTCTTCCTAATGTTTAGGTGGAATCTTCTTTCTTGTAGTTTGGATCCATTGCTCCGTGTCCGCTTCTCTGGAGCAGCAGAAAACAACCTTTCTCCCTCCTCTATGTGACATCCTTTTATATATTTGAACATGGCTATCATATCAGCCCTTAACCTCCTCTTCTCCAGGCTAAACATGCCCAGCTCCCTCAGCCGTTCCTCATAAGGCATTGTTTCCAGACCTTTGACCATTTTGGTTGCCCTCCTCTGGACACGTTCCAGTTTGTCAGTGTCCTTCTTGAACTGTGGTGCCCAGAACTGGACACAGTACTCCAGTACTCCACAGTACTCCAGGTGAGGTCTGACCAGAGCAGAATACAGTAGCAGTATGAGAGAGAGACATTGCACACACCTTTGTAAATCAAGAAAATCTTTAATAAAAATACATTTTAAAAAATGGACATGAAAAGGAAAAGCTTCCACAGTGCAATAGCAGATTCCATGCTTTGCCTGCATGAAGTTCTACGTTCGATCACTGGCGTTCCCACATCAAAACAATATGGGGTATCAGGGCTAGGAAAAAGCACTCCTGCTTTGCACCCTTGAGGGTCCTCAGCAGCAACAGGAGACACCACCATCACTAAGTTTATTAACTCAAATTCCCCACAAAAACCAAATGGCAGGTAAAAATGATAGAATACATGCAATTGGCAAATATGACAGGGAGAGTTAGAGGATATCTGATGCAGAAGGTGAATAAAGAAAGGATAGTATTTAAAGAGTACTTGAAAAATGGTTGTGATAACAAAAATCTCTGGGCAGACCTTGAGTGATTCTTGTAATATATTGGTGACAAATAATATAACTTTTTGTAAAGAATTGGGGGGGGGGGAGAATAACAAGGCACTGTGGGTAAAATAACAAAATAATAAACAGTACAATGAGAATAATCGGAAGTATATTTTATTTATTCCATCTTTTGTCTTCTATCTTTTGTTTTCTTCTTTTTCTTTTTTTTTGTAAAGTATGTGTATGTAGGTTGTATATTTTATATTATTGTCTATTGATGTGTAGGTTGATGTTCATTGTTCAATAAAGTTCTATTTAATATATATTTTTTAAAGTTTATTAATTCAAAGTGAACATTTTCTTCTTTTCTGGATTATCCAAGGTGCACCGTATGGCCATGCACCTGACTTCTGAATTTACTTAAATTGAAATAAAGGTTCTTATGAGAGCCAGTGTGGTGTAGTGGTTAAGAGCGGTAGTCTCGTAATCTGGGGAACCGGGTTCGCGTCTCTGCTCCTCCACATGCAGCTGCTGGGTAACCTTGGGCGGGTCACACTTCTTCGAAATCTCTCAGCCCCACTCACCTCACAGAGTGTTTGTTGTGGGGGAGGAAGGGAAAGGAGATTGTTAGCCGCTTTGAGACTCCTTAAAGGGAGTGAAAGGCGGGATATCAAATCCAAACTCTTCTTCTTCTTCATATCCAACATTTGCTGTATCATAGAAGCCCATCACACCTCGCCCCCCCCAATGTCTTCTATCCAGGCATTGGCCAGACACAGACCTGCTAAGCTTTAGCAAGGTGTTGGCTTCATGGAAATCCCTTTTCCTAGGCATCCTAATCTGATAGTCACCTTTTGTCCTTTTTTAGTGGCAAATGAAATGTTGCCGATGTGATTCCAGAAAGCCTCATGTATTCAACAGTCACCGGGTAGAAAATGTCCTCTCTTCTGCAGGAAATACACGCTGGTGGCAATCCAAGAATGGTAAGCCTCTGCCTTGCTTAGTGGGCCTTCAAGAAAACCAAACAAACACTGTGGACGTGCTCTGGACAATGTCTTGGTTGGATAGCATAGAATAGTAATGATAAGTTGAGTGGGGCAAGGGTTGTGTAGATTCAGCAAACAGGGCTTGGGTTTCAGTGGATTAAATGCAAAGGGGAAATGGATGACCTGACTAATGGGAAAATCCGTTTGCAATTTTGTTTTCACAACCTGCTATTCTAAAAACTGCTCTTGTCTTTCTCTTCAGATGTGAATCCTGTCTTTCTCCAACTAGACTTGGATAAAAAGTTTCAACTTGATAGCATCTTGATGGATTTCAGGGTATGTGAATAATAACTCTTACACTATTTACTGGGGGTATAAACTTGAATTCAGATGGCCTTTGTTTTTTGTTTTTTTTTTAAAGTAATTTTTATTAAAGTTTTAAACAACAACAAAAAAACAACACACACAAAAACCAACACAAAATTCAACAATAAAAAAAAACCATAACAATTAAAAACAATATCTCTTTTCCATTTCCATTTTTAAGTTACTTATTTTCTGGACTTCCTCATACCTCCCTCTTTTGTATTCCAATCCAAATTATTTGTCCAGCAGTTTCTTTTCCACTTTTTTAATCCCAATCTTTAGTTTGATAAAATATTAAAATATATAACTGAATTCAGATGGCCTTTGGAAGCTTAGCTGAATATTATCAGGATTCCAGATACATTACATACATCAGTAGTTTTCAACCAGTGTGCCATGGCACTCTGGAGTGCCTTGAATGGTGGTCAGGGGTGCCGTGGGCAACACTGGCCTCTGTCCCCCTTTCCTTCCCTCCCTCCTCTGATGCCCTCTTGTGTCTCTGCCTCCCAAAGGCTTGTGCAGCTGTTTGTTGCAGCAGCCCTGGCTACAAGCGCCCCAGGCGAATGGTGCCTCTAGGTCTGGTTGGGGGTTCTGGTTGCCAGGAGCTGAGGCGGCATCAGAGTAAGCAAGCAAGTTGGTCAAGGGAGCCCAGCCAGCCAGTCCACCAGCCCTTGTTTTTGGGAATGGACAGACAAGTCCTATGCCCCTGTGGGGCAGTGTGAGGAGGCACATCTCTTTGGGGCAGGGAGGGATGCAACTCGGAGACCAGGGGCGGCAGCAGAGGTGCCCATAGCACTCCCAAGGAGAGAGGAGAAGAGGTTGGGGGAACACCTCACAAGGGAACGGTGTTCAAAAAAGGGTGAGAGGCTGCCAGCTCTGCAGGCAAGGGGTGACATAACTGGGTTCCTGAGCCCCATAGGGGCACCACAGAATGGATGTAGTTGACCAAGGGAGCTGTGGATTCAAAATGGTTGAAAACCTCTGCATACACTATTATTATTTTTTTTAAAAGATATTTATTCCAATTTTAAGATTACAAAAAAGAAGAAAAAACCATACAAAATAGAATAGAACATATAACAAAAAACAGACAGTAAGAAAAACTCAACAAAAAATATAAAAATACATTACAATAAAATATAACAAAAATCAAATTAAACCTTTACAACCTTTTTCCCTTTTACTTATTTCCGTGACTTCCTCTCACCTCCCCGCTTTGTATTCTAGTTTAAATCGTATTTCCAGCAAATCCTTCTAACCTTCTTTTCATTTACTTATTTTAACATTCAATAATATAATTAATCCTCCTCTATCCTCAATTTCTACACTTCATTTTTACTTAATCCATTATGTCATATCTGCCAAAACGACCTAATATTCTTTTTCCAACCTCTTTCTAACATTCTTTTATGTTGCAGTATTTTTGAAGATATATTTTAAATTTTTTCCAATCTTCTTCCATCGACCCTTCTCCCTGGTCTCAAAAAACCTCTGCATACACTATTATTATTCTGCTGGCTTAGGCTGCATCCAATTCCAATCCATTGTTTGTTAACGTTTTCAAAAAGATACAAGGAAAGGAGGAAAAACCTACATTAAAGAAACTGCAGATTTTCAAGAAGAAAATCAATTGTTAAGTTCAGAATCAAGCACAACATTAAGCATTTTTGTTCCATGTACATTTGCACCAAGTATATTGTGATGTGTTAATTTTAATTTTATGGGGGAGAAGGCACAATAACACTGAGGGGCACTGGAAAGACCCTTATGTCAGGTCTGACTATTTGTCCATTGAGCCCATGTCATCTATTTCTTTGGCAGAGATCTTCCCAGTCTTCTTTTATGTGAGCCTTTTTTACCAGAGGTGTGAACTAGGGATTTCACTTGGGATGGTTTGCATGCTCTGCCTTGGAGAAATGGCCTGCTCCTTTGAAGTATATCTTCCTCTATTTTGGCATGTCCAGTCCAGTCCAGTCTGCTTTGATACCTCTTTCCCTCTGTCCCTCCAGAGTCCTCTGCCCACTGGCATGGTGATTGAGCACTCTACAGACTTTGGCAAATCCTGGAAGATTTATCAGTACTTGTCCACAGATTGTGCCACTTCGTTTCCACGGATCTCTAGAGGTCTCCCTCAGACCTGGCAGGATGTGCGTTGCCAGGACATCCAGACTCAAGCGCAGAACGGGGGAAAGGTATAGCAAATGTGATGCTTAATGGATTTCACCAGACTTAAGACTTCTAGGTCCTAACTAGTTTGACAACAGCCATCCCCAGAGTGACTTTACTGCACTGTGAAGGCACCTGGCTTCCACTCTTCCAGGTGCAGATCAACAAATGCCAGAGGGCCCAGCAAGCCCTTTTTGTGGAGAATTGGTAGCCCCTTCCAATCTAGCTGCTCTAGGGCACAGAAGATTTCAGGTCTCTGGGGTCAATTTCTTAAGAGACATGCTAGCTCAGGAATCCACCCCCTGACTTGGAAAAACTGCCCTCTGGTGCATGTGGGGAAGCTGTTGAGTAACATTAATGAGGTGATATTCTGTGTTAGAGATGCTTTCCCTCCAGCAGTGGTTTCAATGAAAATGTTGGCAGGTGGGTGTGGCAACCCACTTGTCAAACATCTGACATCATAGCAACACCAGGTGATTGTCAGGTAAATCTTCCTATGTACTTATCAAAGTTGGCCTGTAGGGCAGGGGACAGATCTGCCCGCCCTGGGGTGGTGGTGGCAAAAAGGTTCCCCATCCATGTTCTAAATCATACAGGGAGTCTATCTAGACAAGGCTTCTCACTCCAGAAGTTATCGCATAATTCAGCCTGGAGGAGCTGCACAACTTTGTTTAATATGCAGTCCCACAAGTGCTTTGTTTCAGTGCTTCCCTTCCATGTGAGTAATGCATGAAGCAGGCTTGTGTTATGGCTTTCTTTAAAAGGAAAAAAGTATTGTGGTTTAAATCTGTTTCATGGGATTTTAATTGCTGCCGCCACTTTTTGGCAAAGAGAGGGAGGGAGGGAGGAAGTATCACACAACCCTCCTTTGGTGGGTGAAGAGACTATAGTCTTCCTTGTAGCAGTAATTGGGTGCAAAATCGCCATTTTAGTGCTAATGTAAATAAGCATTTGCCTAACTGGGAAGTGCCGTTGATAGTTTTTAGAATGACAGGATAGAAAATCCCATGCTTTGACTGCCATCATTTTTTCCTCCTCTGTTCTTCTAAGGTTGAGTTCAACCCCATTGGTCTTGCATCTGGGATGAGGACACCTCAAAGCCAAAAAATCAACAGTATGTACATATTATTTGTGTCTGCTGGGGTGGGGTAGGGGAAGCTTTTGGGGGATTTCAGGGAGCAGAACTTGTTTAGGCACCCAAGTGGATGGTTTATAAAATCCGGTGCCTGAGCTCACTTTCCTGCTCCTCCTTCCGCATCCCCTTTCCCTTGTTTGCCCTATTTTTTAGATCATCAGCCTGAGGGCAGGTCTTAGAAATGAGCTTTGTAAGCTGCTCTGGGAGCCTTTTATGCTAAAGAGCAGGGTGAAAATTATTTAAATAAATTTGACTCCTTCATATACCAATGGGGTCAGTGATTTAAGGTTCCTGTGTCTTTTGTGCTGATCTGCATCTGACTCCAGTCCTGACAGCCTCACTCAGACTTTTGGTGTGCTCCTCAGTGCCAGGTGGCAAGTGGTGTGAGCTTTTTAAAGGTCCACCTGGCCTGGCAGGTGCCAGTGATGTTTGGTCCTGGGAGGCCCAGGCACTTGCCCAAGGATCACAGTTGCTGATGCTGGGCTCAGTTTGTTAAATGTGGTTATTGGGACCTAACAGTTTGTTTGTACTTCCATGTATTAAGAGGAAAACCACATCCAACGGAGTTTACATCTCCCTTTCTCACTTGGTCCTTGTCCCAGGAGCTAAAGGCTTTAGGTCCCATCTCACTGTGTGTGTGTGTGTGTGTGTGTGTGTGTTTTCTTTTGTTTCTCTTTCTCTTGTCTCCAAAAGATCTGGGCCAATTCACCAACTTGAGAATCAACTTCACCCAGCTGTCGCGTCCTGTGCACCAGGGGTACCGCACGCCCAGTGCCTTCTATGCCTTGAATGAGATGCAAGTGAAAGGGAGCTGCTTCTGCCATGGACATGCAGACCGCTGTGCTGCCCTGGACGCTGCTTCTGCAGGACACAATGTTATGGTGAGGGTGAGGACGGGGAAAGGTTGCTACAGATCTATGTATATCAGTTCTATTCTTCCCAGTTCTATTCTTAGATTCTCGCAGGCCTGCTCTGCAACCTGACCTCTCTCGACGGTTAAATTTGTCCTTACAGGTTTGTAGCGATACACCAGAAGCCCTCTGTGCTTTTGGAAAGCAGATAGTGTTTCCTTGTATTATGCAGAGTGCAAGTGACCGAGATGATAAAGGTCTTGCCATCTTCTCTGCCTGAGCCACAAAAAGAAGGTAGTTTGGCGTAGCACAAAGGCCAACCAGCCTGCTTCAAATTGCATTTCTGACTACCTTTAAAAGGTCAATGACCAGCTGCCCTTGGTTGGGCTTAGTAAGGCTGCTCAGCGTGCAGCTACTAGCTTCTTTCTAACTGGGCTTCTGGGGCTGCCCAGAGGGCTAATAGGGAGGGCAGAACAGAGAGTGGTGTACATTTTCTTCTTTGCACATCCTTCATTCTGTAGCTCATATCCCCTCCTCATTGTAGCCATCATAGCTCCTCATCATAGCTCTTGGAGGGGAGAATGGGCAGAAGCAGAGAATGGGGATGGTGGAGAAAACCATTTTGTTCACATCTTAAGGCGAACCTATCCACCAATTCACTCTTCACACCAATTCACAGCAGAACGCAGCAACCGTTTGAAACGTGCACTTCTCTGAATGTCGCAAAGCTGTTTTCCAATCAAAAACCACCTGCAAGACACATGCAAGCAGAAAGTGTGCCTCAGACTTGAACATATTAGTGAAAATAATGTACCAAAATGCATTATTATATTAGAGAAAATGCAAGCATGTGCATTATTAGACAAAATGAGGAGAAATGCACGTAAATATGTGCTTTAATTTTTGTGTGGACTTGAAAGGAAAATGCATTGTTGCAGAAATGAGGCAAACTGAACCTAAGACTGGAAAAAAGAAAGAGCAACAGAGACAGAATCACCCCTGCCTAGCAAAAAATACTTGAGAAAGAAAATAATGCTCTGTCTCTATGGTCCCTTCAGATGGGATATGGCTCCATTGGGGCACAGAGGAATGTGTGCAAAGGGCAGATGAGAGCAAGTTTCCTCTTGCTTTTGTGCACAGGAGAGTGCAAATAATATTAGCCAAACAAAGTGACAGGCTTCTTGCAGGGGGGAGAGGGTGGTTCAGCACACCCCCACACCTCGATTTATAGGTGGTTTGCATCTTGATATAAAAGCAACATAGCTTAGCTTCCTTTATTGTCTGGCCTGGAGCAGCTTGGACTGGACAGGAGTTTCCAGACAGGAACTTCAGAGTTAAGCCTGAATGTGAGAGGCAGCACACACAAAGAAGAGGGATTACACAATATAGTTTTTTTTAAATGGCAGCCGTACTCACTCTGATAATCTTCTGTTCAGCCCCGGGAGTGGTAGGGACCATCAGTATAAGGGTTTTTCTTTTGCTTCTGACATAAAGTGCTCTGATTTGGCATGAATGCAGAAGAATATGTCCCTCCCCCCAATCAGAAGAGACACAATGTGAGAATTCATACCATATCGTAGAAGAGCAGGCTGATCTATGACACCCGCAAAGCAAAGCTTTCTTTGCATCTTCTAGGTGAATGGACAGTGTGTGTGCCAGCACAACACTGCTGGAACAAACTGCGAACAGTGTGCAGCTTTCTTCAATGACCGTCCATGGAGAGCTGCTGAAGATGGCAACCCCAACGAATGTCACAGTACGTATGCCTCTATCCAACTTCCTAGGGAAACAGGCCACACTTTAATTGAGCAAAGCTTTCTTGGAAAGATAACTGGAGTTTATAAAATACAGTGGAACCTCGGTTTTCAAATGTAATCCGTTCCAGAAGTCCGTTCGACTTCTGAAACATCTGAAAACTGAGGATCAAAGGGCTGTCAGCAAGTTCAACGGGGAAAATTGAGAAACATTCCTCGGAAGCCATTCAACTTCCGAGGCACGTTTGAAAACGGAAGCATTCACTTCCAGGTTTTCGGCGTTCGGCTTCCGAAATGTTTGGCAGCTGAGACGTTCGAAAACTGAGGTTTGACTGTATATACTTTGTGCACTGTAGCCACTGGAAATATTATGGTTTCTCCAGTGCTTTTTTATCTGGGGGGGGGGATGTAGGGGTATACATACCCCTAAACATTTTGTGAATCTTTGTACTTTTGTCCATTTACTATATTTAGTTTTCCTGATTTGAACTGTAAAATGGTGATTTTCTTGAGTCAAAATGAGAGTACCCCTAAACATTTTTTTTTTAGAAAAAAAAAGTACTGGGCTTCTCATCAGTTATGGGATCTGCAGATTCCTGAAAGGGTGGAGGTGATCAGGGAAAGGGGAAGCTGAGGTAAAAAGTACAGGAAGGAGTGTTTAAAAGAATCTACTAGCAAACATTTTTTAAAAGGCTGAGGCAGATGAGAGGAGAGCTTTGATTTCCATTTGCAAAGAAGCTAACTGTTTCTTGTCAAACTTCCCCCATCAGCTTGGAGAAAACAGGCAAGTTTGGGGAAATTGCAGTGTGTGTATAGCACAGTGCTGGTGGAATTGATGTTCCCTAAAGTCCTAAGGCTTGCACTCTGGCTGTTTTTCATGTTCTGTGTGGACCCACAATGTGATAAACCTCATGGTTTTATACGCTTGCTGTAGAACTAACCAAAGAGGGAGGCCCAAGCGCCACCTAGTGGTGAAGCTGAAGAGTATACGCACTATTGTTTTCCTTGAACGTCATCTCAGAAATGGCTTTGTCTCTTTTCTCCTAGGGTGCAACTGTAACAGTCATTCTAACAAATGTCATTTTGACCCAGCCGTGTACCAAGCCAGTGGGGGTGTGAGTGGGGGCGTTTGTGAAGACTGCCAGCACAATACGGCAGGGAGGAACTGTGAACATTGCAAGACCAAGTTTTTCCGTAATAAGCGTTTTGAACTTGATCACCCAGAAGCTTGTCTCCGTAAGTGGGTGCTTAAGCATTTTCTTCATGAGTTTTTTCATAATCTTTTTTAACGATAATATTTGAATATTATAGTCTGTTTTATTCCAATGGTAGAGAGAATTCCCCTGTAAGATTGGTGCTCAAAAGAAACATTTTCTGTATTTTAAGTTGAATCTGAAGTGTAGATACGCCTCCAGATTCTTCACGTCCTTCCTTGTGTCCCATCTTTGGAACTCACAATTCTTTTTCTGAGTCTCTATTTTGGTAACTGGAGGAGATGATGAGGCTTTCCTCTTGCTCCCCCCTGAACTAGAATCTTCAAGTTCCTAGTGCATTTTCCTATGCATTTAAAAGGGAGGAGCAGTAAAGCTGCCTTGCAGCTGACCAGAGAAAAATGAACGGGCTTGTTTTCTGAAATCTTTTGTGCCAATTTCAAGTGAGAGAGAGGAATCCTGAATGGGCAACCCTGTCTGCAAATGAAGAGTGGGAGAAAGAAATGATGAGGAACAAGGCAATGCTAAACCCCTACACAAAGCTCAGGTTTGATGACACCCTTTTAATGTGGCCTGTACCTTTAAAATTTGTTGATTCCATGTCTTCTCTTTTTAGCTTGTGAATGTGACCCAGATGGCACTGTTCCTAACTCCAGCTGTGACCCCCAGACGGGCCACTGTGTCTGTAAGGACAACGTGCAAGGAGGCCGTTGCCATTTGTGCAAGCCTGGATTCACCCAGTTAACCAACTCTAACCCCCAAGGTTGCAGAGGTTAGTCAAATTTCAACCATGCCAAACTAGATGTGGGCATGGTGGAGATAGCCACCTCCTGCTGTTTATCCTCAATCAAAAGTTTATTTCTTTGGGAGGGCCCTTTATACACTGTGATAGAGATAGATAAATATGTTTAATCTACTTTTAAAGCTGTCTAAACTAGTAGCGACCACTACATCTCATTACAATTCATTCCATACATGAAAACTGTACAGTGGGTGAAGAAATTCTTCCCTTGTGTTTGTTTGGAACCTATAGCCATTCTCATGTTTTGAGAGACAAGCATTTCTTTCTCCACTGTTCATAATTTTATAAAGCTCTCACATGACCCCTGTTTAGTTACCTCAAAGGCCTCAAATCAGTCAAACAAGCACCTGTCTTCATGGGGGATCCACCCACTTTGGTTATCCTTTCTCTGTAACCCATGAGACCATAATATTGGTGAAGCTCTGCTTGTGCTGTTGCACTAGTATGAATGCAGCACATAAACTGTGAGAAGATCAATTCAATGTGAGCAAAACCTGGACCATTTTCACACAGCCACCACCAGCATCACTGCTCTTATGTTGGCGGTGTGCATATGAGAGGAGCCAGCCAGCAGTAAATCACACTGAGCAAGTGGAGTTAACTCTTTATTAGCAAAAAACAGGATATGCACATGGGTGTCAGGTCTAATAAGAATAGTAGCTCATCTCTGGTAGGTCTTGCCACCTTGAAGCAGTTGCTGAAACTGCTGCCCAAAGTCTGGGGTTTTCCCTAAGCAATCTGAGACTGCACCTGTGTGAAGCTATCTCCTGGTTCTGGGAGACCAGGGGCGGGGGAGGGGGGAAGCTTGTTGCAGCAGGAGGGGGAGACACTCATGCCTCTTCACCAGCTGGAGTCGTCTTTCTCTCTTGGCCTCTCTGCTCTCCTGATTTAGAGCCAGTGTGGTGTAGTGGTTAAGAGCAGTGGACTCGTAATCTGGGGAACTGGGTTCGCGTCTCCGCTCCTCCACATGCAGCTGCTGGGTGACCTTGGGCTAGTCATACTTCTTTGAAGTCTCTCAGCCTCACTCAACTCACAGAGTGTTTGTTGTGGGAGAGGAAGGGAAAGGAGAATGTTAGCCGCTTTGAGACTCCTTAGGGTAGTGATAAAGCAGGATATCAAATCCAAACTCCTCCTCCTCCTCCTCCTCCTCCTCCTCCTCCTCCTCCTCCTCCTCCTCCTCTTCTTCTTCTTCTTCTTCTTCTTCTTCTTCTTCTTCTTCTTCTTCTTCCTCTGATACAGAAGTTCTCTCTGCCACAGACTCTTCCTGCTCACCAAACCCTGTTACCTTCCAACACCACCTCCTCCCAGTCTTCTTCCTCTTCTCCCTCTAACCACTCATTGTTGTCCCCTGGCTCTAAGCCGCCTTCCCCTGGGGGTTCCCCAGCTGATTCCTCCCATCATTTCTCTGCATTCAACCAGTCCACAACAGCATACTATGTAAGGGCAATCTAGCCTTAAAATTATTTTTTGAAACAGAGCAGGTTGAAACATTCAAAACATAGCCCTAGGAAGATGGAAGAAGAGGGAAAGAGTTTTTCTTTCAATTTCACACAGATTTGAAGATCTTAACGCTTATCCTCCAGGCAGGTCCCTTGTGGCATATGGTTTCAACTGAGGCTTGGCTTACATAACCAATTTCTCTAGATCCACCTTCATTTATCTCTCACAATCTCTTGGGCAGACCTTGCCTTGTTTTAGATTAAAATGAAATGTAGCCTCTGCAAGCAGCTATACTGATGGGTTTCAGCTCCCTCCCAGCAGGTGGCAGTAGCTGCTTTGCTAAGCTTGATCTTGGAGAACAGCCGCAGAACATGACAGCAATAGCTGGACAGAATCACCTTGGGGAAGGACCGTAGCCTAGTGGCACAGCAAATGCCTTCCATGCAGAAGGTTCCAGGTTCAGTCCCCGGCATCTCCAGCTGGGAATGTTCTCCGCATGGAACCTTGGAGAGCTACAGCCAGTCAGTGTAGACAACAGTGTGTGAAGTGGACCAGTTTGCTGGCTCAATAGAAGGCAGTTTTTGTATGTTCCTGCCATTATTCATAAGAAGACTGATCTCCTGTGGTCAGCTGAGGGGGTGGGGAGGGTCTGTGCTGAGGAAACAAATCTAATTTCATGGAACAATATCTGCTTGGATATGACTAGTATCTGGAGTGGTAATGGGCACTGTCTGTCATAGCCTCAGTTCAAAACTGTAATTGATTAGTGATGTTGCTAAAGAGTGCATCTCCTTAATTTGAAATGCAGACCTCGGTGTCTCATGATGCTCAGCTCCAGTCTGAGATGCATGCTTTGATAATTGCAATGTCTGTGGTGATATCAAGCATGAAGAGCAACCAGCCTTCATTCTTAATTTGATGCTGAATAGATTTAGTAAATTTCTATACCACCCTTCATCTAAGGCTCACAGGGGGGTTTACGATATAATAGCACAAAAATGGATAACAAATGAAAACAATACCCCATTCGTCACACAGTTTTAAAAGCCATAGATTGTTTAATTAGCCAAAGGCCTGGGAGAAGAGGAATGTTTTCCCCTGGTGCCTAAAGATGTGTAAACTAAAGATGTGCAATGAAGGCACCAGGTGAGCCTCTCTGGGGAGAGCGTTCCTCAAGTGGGGAGCCAGCACCCGCCCACTGCCGCATCTGCAGATGTAAAGGAGAAGTAGAGCTGTGTGTTGTCAGCATATTGCTGACAATGTACTCCAAAGCTCTGGGTGACCCCACCCAGCAGTTTCATGTAGATGTTAAACAGCATGGGGGATAAAATTGAACCATGAGGAACCCCACATTGAAGGCTTCATAGTGTTGAAGAGCACTCCCTGAGCACCACTCTCTGGAAATGTCCATCCAAGTAGGACTAGAACCACCGCAAGTGGTGCTGCCCTCAACTCAGACATCTGCCCCAGATACAGTGGCCAATGGTATTGAAAGCCCGTGAGACATCAAGGACACATTGAAGAGAGGTTGAGGACATGAGGATACATTTCCCCTGTCTCTCCCCCAACAGAGGTCACGAAGGGTGGCCAAAGCAGTTTCTGTGCTAAAACCAGCCCTAAACATTGACTGAAATGGTCTGGAAAATCAGTTTCCTCCAACAGCACCAGGATCTGGTCTGCAGCCAGATGGGTGGGGATCACCGACACTTCCAGGGAGATCCTTTCCTTCTTCCAGATCAATGTGTTTCAGGAAGTCTATAGCAGAGCTGGGGACTGGAGGCGGATCTGCCCCCAAACCCCTCCCTATCTGGCCCTCTGGATGTTCCCCTTGCTTGGCTGGATGGAAGACAGAGAGGGGTATATAGAAAATAGCCTACTGCAGAAAGGTCACATTTACATTCATTGGCCCACCTTCTATTGCCCCTGGCCCCACCTGCCATTGGCATGACTTTCAAAACCTGGAGCCAGCACTGAAGGGAAAGAATTTTACAACAAGACTTTGCTACTGGCGGACTGAAGGGTTTCATCAGCTTTGATTTTATCTATTTAATTCTATATCACCCTGTACCCACAGGTTCACAGGAGACCTGATACTTCCTGCGCACACCCCAGGAGCATCCCCCAGTAGTTCCGACACAAATGCTGGCTCCTTTGTTTTCCAGATTGTGCCTGCAGTGTTTTAGGCAGCCGCCGCAACGTGCCATGCGACGACGAGACGGGCCGCTGTTCTTGCCTCCCCAATGTGGTGGGAGACAAGTGTGATGAATGCGCCGCCAATCACTGGAAAATTGCAAGTGGGCAGGGCTGCCAGGCTTGCAACTGTGACCCTCAGCATTCACGCAGCCCTCAGTGTAACCAGGTACTGCCCACGAAGCAGCAGTGCAGCAGCTTACAGCTCTAGAGGTGGGCGGGGAGAGGGAAATTCTGGGCCATTGCACTTTGTGGCACCACGATCAGGGCATTGTCTTCTTAGTCCTGCAGAGAGAGGGGGAAGCTGTTTTGCTCAGTATCTAGGCTACCGTTGAGAGTACTTAGTACATTCGGTGGTATTGGGTGGTAATGCTTTCTGCAGATTTTACTAACTGAGGCTGTATATCTGGGCATGGGGGTTGCTGTTGCCTGTTTGAATTAGGGATGGAGGAAAAATTCATTTTAAAGCAAAGTGGCCTCATTTGCTGGTCCCTGATGGCTATGTGGATTAAAATGCAGCTGTCCATCAGATCACACATTTCTCTGGATTTTGCGAGGCAGTTTTTAAAAATGCACACGAAATTTATGTTTTATGGGAAAATGCATACAACAATGCATATTTGTGGGGGAGCATTAAAAAGCATACAGGACTGTGGCTGGTAACTGACTTTTACTCAGAGTAGATCCATTGAGATGAATAAGCCTAAGTTGGTCATGTCCATCAATTTCAATGGGCCTCCTCTGAGTAGGAATAGCATTCGTTGCAATCCCATGTATTTTAGGGGAAGGATGAGTACAACATGTGTACCATTTAAATGTAGTTTTTCTTTTGCATTAAAAAACCCCCCAACACTGTAAAACTTAGAATGTAACAGACCTAAAACTGAACATAATGCTCAAATACATGTGAAACTAACCTGTAACGGAAATAGACTGATTTTTCCATTCCTACCACGAATGCTTTCTCATGAAAAACAAACAGCTGAGGCCGAAGTTGGAGCTTTTCCTTGTAAATCCCTTCTGGAACTCAATTATTCTCCAGACCAACAGGCCTAACTCTGCAGTTCTACGTCAAAGAGATTTCCTCCCTGGCATCTTTCTCTCTTGTTTTGCAGTTTACAGGGCAGTGTCCATGCAGAGAAGGCTATGGGGGCCTGACATGCTCTGCTCCTGAAGTACGGGTTTGTCCGGACCAGTCTTATGGAGATGTCAGGACAGGATGTAGAGGTAAGGAATGCAGGTTGCACTCACCTGTAAACCACTGGGTATTTAAATGGTTCTTGCCATCTTGCTGTTCCATCTAACTCAGGTCTGGAGGAGCCTGTGGCCCTCCCGATATGGTTGTAGTTCATCTCCCTCCTTCTCTAATAGCTGGCTGTTGGGGAGAAGAGTGAGCAGCCAGAGGGATGCACTGTGGAAATGTCAGCCTGTAACCAGCAAGTAAAGCCTGTGAGTATTTTTGAGGGATCCAGACCCTTCTTATTCTCCTCTCTCAACAGCTTGCAACTGCAACTTCCAGGGCACAGAGGAAATGGGCTGTGACAAGCTGACAGGCAGATGTCTTTGCCGTCCCGGCTTTACTGGAGACCGCTGTGACCAGTGCCAGCGGGGCTACTGTGGCAACTATGACCACTGTGAGGCATGCAACCCTTGCTTCCAGGCCTATGATGATGAGCTCCATAGGTTTGGCTTGCGCCAGGCCACCTTGAAAAATTCCACCCAGCGGCTTCCGGTGGGGACAATGAGCTCCGGCTTCAGCACCCGCCTCTTAGAAGCAGAAGGCGAAGCACAGCTCATCCAAGGGATCCTGGGAAACCCCCTCTTGATGGAGCAAGGGCTGGATCAGGTGGCCAACGCCATTGCTACGATCAGGTGAACAGGAATTGCATTCTACTTACTGTCAGCAAGCAAGCATTGTCCAAAGCATGAAGATAACAATCTCTGATGCTTTGCTTTTAAGCAGTCTCTCTTCTACTTAATGGGTAGAGCATGAGATGCTTAATCTCAGGGTTGCAGGTTCAAGCCCCACCTTGAGCTAAAGATTCCTGCGTTGCTGGGGACCTAGAGAGGGGCCCTAGTTCCTTGCCAATCCTTCCTTGGGTACTTCCAGACTGTCACTGTTTTGTGAGAGGGATTCAAGTGCATATTATAAATGGAGATTTGTGAAGTTGGATTAAAGTGCTCTGTTGCTCTAGCGGGACAAATCCAACTTGAAAAAGAGTGGCTCGGAAAATGACAAGGAAATGTACTTAAAAGTGTGGGTAAGACATATGAATGCCAGGCAACCAATCAGGATGAAGGCTCATTGTTACATTACTGCCCTGCAAACAAGATAGGAATGAATACTCGAGAAAGACCTCACATAGTCTAACCTCTGCGTAAACTTTGTGCAAACAAAGTGGAATGAATGTTCAATAAGCAGATCGTCTGCAGGAGCCCATTGATTCACTGGCAGTCTATGAAGAAGTCAGTCTTTTAGTCTCTCATAGGGGCACAGAATACTAATGACATGCTTTCATTTGTTTCACAGTATAAAATCTGTGAAACACTGTGCACATTCAAGGTGGTATCCAGCTGCCCATTCAGTGATTATATGTTTGAATCAATTGTTTTAATTACTTTATCCACTTCAGTCCTTGTCTGTTAATTATTATAAACTGCCCTGTGATCCTCAGATGGAGGGTTGTATAGAAAATTAGCAAACAAATAATAGTATTAAATTAAAATTCTGTTCTGTCCCTTCCGTTACATTTGTTGTCCTGCATTTGATACCAGTGGGTACTCGGCTGCTGATATATGAGTCAGAATCTTCAAGCTTTATTTCAAAGAAGTGCCACTGATTTCATGGGCGTATGTTGGCATGAAGGTTTTAAGGGCAGTAATCACTGGATGAAAGAAAGAGAATAATTACAAGATGTATGCTGAAACCAAAACCAACTATCCTGTTTTTTTTTGTTTTTTTTGTTAATTCCAGGCAGACCATTGAAGGTTTAAGACATGAAATACCTTTCAGGGATGAAGCATCCTCTTTATCCATAGATATGGATAATCTTGATAGAAGCCTGGTTCTGATCATCGCTGAGTACCAAAACAAGAAGGCTCAGTTTGAAGCCAGCCGAAGCACAGATGTCTCAGGTATAATACCTGTGTTTCAACCACTACATTCATCAGTTCATACATAAGCGGCTGTATCTCCTACTGTAAATACGGACAATAATCTGATTATTGGGCGGCTTTGCCATATTGTGGATTTTGTGTCCTGCCTGAAAGAAATTGAAGAGAGATCTTCAACTTAAGTCAGGCTTTCACAATCTTTCCGATTTCTCATTTTTCCTCTTCCAACCCCCTCCCCTTTGCCTGTAAGAGTGGATCCAAACACAGGAGCTTATATCAGAGACAACGTTGCACTCTCACAAAAGCACATTTCCTAGTGACCCTCAGAGGAAGCTTTGGTCATTTGCACACAACACTTTTGTTTTCAGCTGCTTAAAAATGGCAACCTACTGTGGATGGAATATTTTTCTTCTTCTTCCCCCCTGTGTTAAAGGTGTTATGAAACTGGCCCCACAGCTCAGGGTGTGTAGCCTCATCCCGCTAGCATATCTAGAAAAACAGATTTTGCAGTGCTTCAAAGTAACTTAACAATTCTACATCAAAAAGAATGACTTTCAGTTTGTGAATTGACCCCGGGCTCCAGTCTCTGGCAGATCTGCAAGGCGTTTCTAATTATTCTTCTCACTCACATCACACAGCCTATAGTTCTTACCAGCAAAGTGCTGCTCTGAGGCTTTCCAGACACACCCCAGTGGTATTAGTAGGCCATTTCAAGAAATGTATGTTTTAAGTTGTTTCTGTTCCTGCTTGGTGATCTAATTAGAAGTGTGCAGAACATCCTCCCCTCCAGGGAATTATCGCCAGTCTGATTGAAACTTTTTTTTGCTTCCCTTGAAAATCACTGGATGTTTCCCTTGATTAGGAAGCTCCAAATTAGCTTCCGGATTTTGCTGTAGGTGAAGTGTGATGGCAACTCTGGATGTAATATATTTACTCTGGAAGGCTAAAGAGGACTTTCCAGCACTTTCTCAAACCTACATGTTCACTTACTGCAGTAGCTTCAGTTTTGCCTCCTTTTCTGAACCTTTTCTGAACCCTGATGGAAGGAAGGAGGTGTGACAGACCACATACCTCAGCTTGCTAAGTTCTCATGTGAATCTTGGAGCTGCAGGTGGCAGAGGCACGTCTCTACTATAACATGTACAGTACAGCTTAGCTTTGTATAGTACATTTTCAAAAAACAAAACAAAACACTAATGCAAGAGAAAAACAGCCATTAAGCAGTTTCATGTGAATGGCGATTGGCAAGTGCTTTTCAGCTGGCGTCCTTGTGATTCACTGCTCTGGCAGATCCTCTTTCCTCCTTTTTTCAAGGTAGAACTCCATACCAGGAGGCCTTGGAAAGGAAAGCTGCATTGTGAGTCACTAAGCCATCTAAACATCATTTTTCCCTTTGTTTCCCTAGGAGCTTTCAAGACACTCAGCTCTGCGCATCAGACATCTTCCAATGCCAGCTTGCGCATAGCTGGCTCTTCCAGGCTGCTGGCCCAGTCTGCGGAAAACAGGCAGAGTGCTGAGGAGCTAGAGAATGATCTTGCAAGCCATGGGTCGGGACTGGAGGCTCTGCAGGCTGAAATGGCCTTCTCTCCAAACTTGACTCCTGCCATTAATAAGGTGAAGCTAGCAGTTAACCTCTACCAAAGGTGCCGCTGCATAGCATCATTGCTCAATTAGCCTCATAAATTGTTACCCAGTGAACACTGCTTCCCATTGTTCTGACTGCAGCCCAGTAATGGCTACAGACTAATGAGGCAGAAGGTTGTTTGGGGCCAAAGTCTGTTATTGTTATTGGGTTTTTTTATTCCTCTTTTCTGCTGTTCTACTATTGCCATGGAGACTGATGTAAGCATCTCCGGTTTCCATGAAAAACCACCCATCTAATCTTGCTGCATTTCAGCGCAAGTGTTCTCAAATGAAATCTATGGGTGTGGAGGAGTTGGGGATATCAGGAATCTCAACTGCCTCTGGATGTCTTTCTCTCCTGTGAACCTTACAGTTGTTTGTAGTTGGGCAGAAATTTTGCAAAGGGGTGGGGAGAGGATGTCTGCTTTCCTCCTGGAGTAAGGATGAAGGACCTCCAACCCAAATACCCAAGGCAGCACTCATTGGCTCTCTGTCCCTTGAGACACTTTCCAGGCCATGTTCCGTCACCAGCCAAGAACTGTGCCCCTTGAGTGCTTTGGCCTGGCCTGCCTTTTGCTTGCCAGGATGGAGGAATATGTAGATATAGTGTGTGTGTAGAAATCTCTGGATTTTGTGTGACTGGAATGTAGTAAGAAAAGGTAGGGCTTACAACAGTTGCCCTGTCCATTTGTGGCTCCGTGGGGCTGCAAATGGTTTCTTTTAGCTTGCTGCTGTGGCAGTGCTTTTAATCCCTTTCTGGGAAATTTTACTTAATATTTATGAGAATCCAAAGCATTATTTGTGTATGAAGTATTAAAGCAGAACAGCTATGTTCAGCTCTCTCTTTGGGGCTGCCCTTGAGGTTGACCCGGAAACTTCAGCTAGCGCAAGATGTGGAGGCTGCACTGTTCACCTTTTGCTATCATGTTACCCCGCTGCTGGAAGAATTGCAATGGCTGTCAGTTAGCTACAGGAAATTGGATGGAATGGACTTAAGAATGAACAGGTGCAAAATGGACACAGACTGGAAAAAAGTGACCCACCCTCCTCCCTTCGTGTATCATTGTGACTACTCCTTTACCCCCTTCCCCATCCCACCCCCATTGACTCCCAAGCAGTCCTTTGAGCTATCTATGTGCCCCTCCCAGTGGGAAATGTCTTCTGGGTCATCTCCAACCAGCAGTGAGCTCTCTACATGTCAAGGGCCTTGGCCACGCCCATAGAACCTTCTTCTTTGATTGCCTTTTATGTTGTCTCCATTTGGGCATCTAAAGCTGGGTGCTGTGCATCAGTGGATGTGCTATACTATAAGTGCATGAAGATAGTAACTCCCTGAATCATTTTTGGTTTTTGTATTATTGAAGGCATAACTTAATTGATTGTGTGGCTTCTCTGTTTAGATTTGCAGTGGCATCAGGTCAGAGATTTGCAGCCCTGGGGAATGTTCTGGAGAAGTATGTCCACAGCAAAACACAACTGGATGTGGCCCTGGTCGGAGCTGTACTGGAGTGTTCTCACTTTCTGGAAGTTCCATCCAAACTGCCACGAAAACCTCCCAAGATATCCACAACTTAAATATCCGACTTCAGGAGACTACACAGATGGTGTGTGTGTGTGTGTGTGTGTGTGTGTGTGTGTGTGTAGAAAGGAAAAGGAGAGCTCCTACCTTTGCCTTCTTGGGAGACAAAGAGTCTCTTTTGCAATTGCCAAGGAAAATGCATGACTTGTGCTGTGTGGCTTTTTGTGAACATGTGAACATGTTTGTCATGACACCCAACATGCAAACAGCATTCCTTCAATTTTAAACTCTGCCCAGGTAACTTTTCAATTTGGGAGATCCACCTGGCGAATATTGCTTTGTGAGGGTGCCCTGTCTGACAGGTACACTGCACAGGGCAGGGTGTCTTCCAGAAGTTGTTGGACTCAGGCTTTCATCAGCCCTAGCCAGCCTCGTTAACATTCAGGGATAATTGGAGTTGTCACCAAGAAGCACCTGGAAGGCACCAGGTTGGCTGTCTCTGCAGGTTGGCTGTCTCTTGGGTGTGCCCTCTTCCTGAACAAAAATATGGCGTGTGGAGCAAATGAGAACCTGCTTGTGAATGTGCATAATGCATGTTGTTGTGATGCCATTGTGGGATTTTGCAGAAACAAATACCCGTGTTCTGAGTGCCTGTTGGTTGTTGCAGAGAAGGCAATGGCACCGTTCATTTTCTTCCTCAATTTCTACATTTTTCACTATAAAAACACATTTTTTTGTTTCTGAAATACTAGGAAGCACTGGGTAATTAAGAAACAGGGAGATTGAAAGTATGGATGAATGACACTCTGGAACCAGCTTAGGATCTTAGAAACTGACTCTGCCTTGCATGTTGTTTGACATAGATCAGAGCTGCAGAAATAGCTGTTGGCCAAATTCAGACTAATGCCCAGAGCCTGGGAGACCAAATGACTTCAACTAGGGCCCAGATAGAGGGAGACATCCATCGCACCCAGCAGTTCATCTACCAGGTTCGCAACTTTCTGTCAGGTAAGTCTATGCATGAAACTTCTGTCTTTGATTTCTTGCTGTTACATTATCTTTAAAATGGTCAGCTTTCTCATAAAACACACATACATGAAGCAAATGATCAAGTGCTATTCACTGGACCAATTCATTGATTAAAAAGTTTCATGCTTACAGGAGTATGAATAGTTCTAAAATGTATGCTAAGGCCAGATAAATAGCAGCTAGCTGTTGCTGGGGAAAGGACAAAACATTAGATAGCAGGCAAGACTTCCTCCAAGCCCTTCAGAGACAAATACAGCAGATGAAAAGCATACAGCAAATTTGCCGCTATTCGAGGATGGCTGTTACAAAACCATTCTTCCTGCTTGTATTTTCCTTGCTCAGTATCTTTTGCCGATTGTCTGTGACTCCTGCCCGCTGGTACAGAAATAGAATCCATTGTGCATCATAGTGGTTATGCACAAAAGCTTTATCCAAATGGTTATGAGCTGGACTACTTCCCAAGTTATGCTTAAAACACGTGGGAGTTTACTTTTGAGTCAAGGGCGTGTGGTAGAAAAGTTGTACTGGCAGTGCAGGAGTGCATTTAAGAGAAAGGATATGCCAGCCCAGGATCTAGTTGCAGAAGTTTGGTCAATGGGGGCCTTACCTTCAAAGATAGTGGTGGCATTCTGACATTACAGTTTCACACAACTTTGGGCAAAGCAGGAGGGTTTGACTTGACGCACTTTGAGGTTCCTACCAATTCTAGGATGCAGATGCTGACAGTAATTCAGTGAGGTAACTGTAGACAATGAAGGGAGCCATGCATATTTTCCTAGGGAGGCTGTTCCAGAGATCTGGGACCATCACAGAGAAGAGTCTATCCCTGGCTCTTCCTTCCCACCCACCCCTGTTCCCCAGCAACACATAGGTGCTACCAACCAATCCCATGATAAGGAAGCTGATTTGGTGCCATGGCTTATTTTTTTGTTTGGAGGTGAACATTTTCACATTTGAGCTCCTGGGTGTATGAGAGTATCTGGAATTTGTGACCTGCTAATTTGTATTGTTTTGCTAGAAGTTCCTCTCCTGTCATCTCTGATTGACTTAATGGTTCTTCAGTTGCCCATCCCTGAAAAAAATAAATTCAGACATGGGTATCTGTCCAGCATCTTCTTCAGGGGAGACCAATGTGTAAAGAAGAAGAAGAAGAAATTAACCACTAGCCCTACTCAGACTAGGCTCACTGAAGTTAATAGGCATGACTAACTTGAGTTCATTAATTTAATTGGGTCTAATCTGATTAGGCCTTAGTTGAATTCCTCAGGCGACAAACCTATGCCAGCTAACTTCAATAGGACTTATTCCTGAGTGGATACATATGGGATTTCACTGTTAGGCTTTAGCCCTTGGGACTCTTACTTTAGAGTAAGCTCTGCTAAATACAGTGGACTATATTTCTGAGTATTTAATCGTCCAATCATCTTTCTGGGTAATTTCTTCCTTATGTATTTTAACACATTTGTTTTTAAATTGCAGGCATTATTTAGCATGTAAATGTGCTCCTCAATCCCCCTTTTTTTATAAAGTCATGCATTATCATTAGTTAATATTATTTTGTTGGAAGCCTATATAACACCTTGCCTATTTGAAAAGCTCTCTCTCTAAATCCCCATCTCTTGCTTGAGACTTCTCCCTGAGGTAAGAGACAGGTCCTGTCACTGGCAAAATTCTAGCAGTGCATACTGACAAGCACGAAGGCTGTGAAATGACAAGTATCTAGGGGAGAATACCGAGAGGGTGGGGTACTTTGGTTGTGAGAATAAATCATGAAATGTTGAGACATCTCAGATGTGGGAGATGCAGAGAGTGATGGACCAGTTAACTCCTGCTGCTTTGAAAAATGTCTACATGTAGAGAGAATAAGAAGTGCTGCTGACAGCTAGGGTGGCCAGATTCAAAAGGGGAATGTCTACACAACTTGAATGTTAACTAAGAGCTCCTCCAGACAACCTGTTTATTTAGAATTCACCTGGATTTTCTTGCACAAAGCTTATGCAGAGGTTAGACTCTATGCAGTCTTTACTGAGCATTTGTTCTGATTTGCGTGTGAGATGGTTATACAACACTGAGAATTTGTCCTGTGTTTATCCTGATTTGCTTGTGGGGTGTTTTTATATCCTCCTGTTAATCGTTCATTCATCCCACCCTTTTCACTGCATTTCCTTCACTTTCCGAACTGCAGAGAGGCTGATTCTTTTATAAAGTTGATTTGTTGCACTAGGGTGACAGAGTGTGTTAATCCAGTTGGATTGTGTGAACTTAAATGTACAGTATGCGCTTGAAACCCTCCCGCAAAATGGTGACAGTTTGGTGGCATTCTATGGGGCAAATCTGAGGCCTTCCCCCAAGGTCCTCAAACCCTGAAAAGTTGGGGGTAGCGGTAAGAGAAAGCAGGGGTGGTTTAAAGCAGATAAATGTTTAGTAGGAAAGCATGGACCCCTTTCCCTTGCTCCCCCTCCATTCAAAACCACACCCTTCCAATAATGCTTTCCATTGACAAAGGCCATCAATATGTCCATGCCTAGTTTCCCCCTTAACTGTTAGCTTCTGACCCTTCCTGAATTTATTATTAGCACCCTTATGTTCTCTCTTCAATCTGCTTGCTTGTTTTTTTGAACATTTCTGGCTTTGGTAATATAAGGAACCAGTGGGAACCTACAACACATTTCCCCCTAGTGTATCACCCACATCCTAACAGGAATGCTCCTTGTCAGTGCTTTGTACAGTCTAGAACAGGAACCCTTTGAGTTGGCAAAGAAGCTACTTTTTCTTTCCACCCCTCTAGAAACCTCCTCTCACTGTGCTATGCAGTTGCAAAGGAATCAGGATTGATAAAGAGCTTGGAGGAGTATAAAATAGGATGGAGAGGGTCATTTCCTAATGCTGAGCTCAAGGATACCATAAAGAGTTTGACACACCCACACAGGCCCATTCTCATTCTCTCCCTCCATTTCCCAGCCCATCAACATCCCATGGCTTAACTGGCCTCAGTTATGCCTTTAATTCCTAGACTCACACAAGCCTTGTTCAGGAGAAAAAGCCTTCGTGTGGTTCTAATAATCACAGGAGAATGGAGCCATGCTCATTAGCCATGCTCCTTGCATTGTGTCCCCACTGCTCTCCAGGTGCAAGGATATCAGGGGGTTACTCGAGAGCAATCAGGCAAATGCCTCTCTGGTCAGCTGTAAAGCCTCGTTATTGGTGCCAAAATCCCTTCACCATGCAGAGCGTCACTATTCCATGGCTCGCTCATTCACTGGCACAATCTGTGAGTGGGCGGTCCTTAAACCTTCCCCAGCAGAGTAGTTTCTTGGCACCCAATCTGCGCTTCCCCTCTCTGCGTGGAAGCCTACTGCGCAGGGAGGGCGTGGGTAACAGAGGACCTCTCTCCTCCCCGCTTTGCCCAGGCAAGGTGTCCTGGTACTGCCTCGTCTCCTCCGAGCCCTGCAGCTCCTCTCCATTGGAGGCGTGGTTACTCTCCTCTGTTGAGGAGGTGCTGCTCCGCATGATCTTTGGGGGCTCTCTGTAATCCATCCGGCTTTTCCCCTCTTGCCCCTGAGCCGATGGCAGTTCCCTGACACCAGGTGTCACAACTAGAAGGTCTGAATCTCCGAGACTGCTTTATGCCTTTGGGCTCCTTGTATGATTTCAAACCCTGATCACACAGAGCTTTAGCCTGTGTCACATGTTGTGGAGGTGACATGTGTAGTGGAGGCTCCCTTCTCCAGACTCCTTCCTCTTCATACGATGGAGGCACAACACCTGAATAGGGCTGTGGCCTGCCTGAGTTCAGTTTCTTCAGATTGTTTTCTGAAATCCTGGGCGAATCCTGGATTTTACCATAGCCATGATTGGACAACAGTGTTTCCTTCCATCTCCAAGGAAAAAATAACAGTAAAGACAAGAGTTTGGAGTGAACTCAGGTGAAGATGAGATGTGTGTGTCTTTGCACCAATATTTGTCCTGTAATTTTATTTGGAAGAGCAGCAGATCTGGCTTTCCCTAGCGACCCAGTGTTTGATTTGCTTCAAGGAAGCTTCTGGTTTGTTGAATAAAATATATACTCTCACTTGGCCTCGACTTGACTTTTTCCCACTCTTATCTTTGCAGATCCAGATACTGATGCTGCTACCATCCAGCAGGTCAGCGATTACGTCCTCTCCCTTCGCCTTCCCACTGACGCTGCCACAGTCCTCAGGAAAATGAATGAGATTCAGAGCCTGGCAGCTAAGCTGCAGTGCCCTGAGACATTCATTTCCCAAACGGCTGGGGATGTTGCTAAGGCCAGACAGCTTCAGCAGCAGGCAGAAGAAGCCAGGTAAAGAGGCCTTTAGTACTGTTGGATCATGTAAGGAGAGTGATGGAACCTGTTTGTAGATATTATTCAGAAGAAAGGTCCTGCCCTATAGCTAGTACAAGATTCTTTGCCTTCTTGAGGCTTCCCGGGGACGTGTGCACAAAACCTCAAGTTTTTAAACCAATGCAAATAAGACACTATATCTGTGATATGGTTTCATTTAGCACCCACTGAGATCTGTTGGTAGAAGCATGCCAGCCACATCATTGAAGCATCACCCCACTCTATTGGTTGAATACAGGAACATTGCTCTCCTTTCTGGACAGACATTAACCTTGCATCCAATCCACCTACACTAGTGGCCAAAATTGTGGAAACCTGTTGGAAAAAGTGTATTTCCGAGGTTTGGTGGCTCTCATAACACCACTTTCTTTTAGAGTAATACCATAAAATTAAAAAAAATTCCTTCCAGTAGATCTATTCCAGTATCTATTCCAGTAGATACTATCTGAAGAAGTGTGCTTGCACACGAAAGCTCATACCAAGAACTAACTTAGTTGGTCTTAAAGGTGCTACTGGAAGGAATTTTTTTTATTTTGACTATGGCAGACCAACACGGCTACCTATCTGTAACTGGAACCATAAAATTATATATTGATGGAAAGATAATTTAATGAAGAATGTAATGCAACGAAGTTTGTTCAATTTTCTGTATTCTATCAAAGGTTATATAGCCAAATAACCAAAAAAAGGTGGTGTTATGAGCCACCAGACCTCGAAATTACACTTTCCCCAAAAGGTTTCCACAATTTTGGCAACTAGTGTACTTGGGTTTAGTGCTTGCTATAGCAGCATGGGGAGGTAGCTCCGAGTTCGTATTCTTCACTTAATTGCTGCTGTTGTTACTACGTGCACAATTTTTGTATTTGCACTGAATTATTTGTATAGGATTCCCCCCCTAAACTTTTCAATTACTTGGGTGGGGTCAGAGGCAGCTGAGTGAGGCACAGTGACTTGCTTCAGTGAAACTTATCCCCAGCCAGATCCAGTGAGTTAAAGGTGGTCAGTCCCCCACTTCCTCATCCTTTTTGATGTCTCTTGGCAGCAGGGAGGCTATGCTGAGAGTATCCCTGCAAGTGTGGAAGGTTAGCATCTTGCAGAAACTTGTCCTTGGAATGAAGATGGGAGCCAAGGATTTCCTGGATGACAGATCATATATTGTAGCTGCTGTACATTACGTTATTAGCTCTCACCACGCTAGCATAAAGTGATGGGATCTTTTACGCAGGCAACATTTTTCACTAGCACTCACTTCAGTAACCACCTAAGATTCTGAATTAAAGTTTGCTGGCTTATCTTGCTTGAACGCAGCTCAAGGTTTTGTCCCTGCTGCATGCATATATATATATATATATATATATACACACACACACACACAAAATACGTCCAAAGCACCTCCAAGCATCATGGGAACTGTAGTTTACCTCTCACAGAGCCACACTTCCCAGCACTCTAAACAAACTACAGTTCCCAGGATCCTTTGAGAGTAAAATGTGCTTTAGATGTGTGGTGTGGATGCAACCTTTATTTATAGATGCTTGTTGTAGTCCATCCTCTCTGTCACTTCCCACTTCTTACTGGCCCAGTCTGTCTGTCTTTCATGTAGCGATATGTGATGGGAATTCAGAGGGGTTCTTTTTAATAAATATATATTTAACATTTTCCTAGGAATCGGGCCAATGCTATTGGGGCCAATGTGGAAGATGTGGTGGAGAATTTGAAGCAAGCAAACACAGCACTTCAGGAGGCCGAGGACACCATCAGTGGCTCTGGCTATTCCCTCCGGCTCATCCAAGACCGCCTTAATGAGGCGAGTGATACTTGAGTGTCTGGCTCTGAAGCCCCCAAATGAATGGCTTACTCTAAAGCAAGCCGGCAGGACTTGTGATCCTCCAGGCCCAAATACATCTTTATTGTTCTGTCGATGACTCATGTTAAAAAAAGAAGTTCTGTGAAGGTGGAACACCTACACACTCCCCGACAGAAACAATAAAGCACATTACCTATTTAAAGGCATAACATTATAAAGATTGATTTCAGACTCAGAGCATCATAACTTCCCTTCCCTTGCACAGTCCAGGTAGTGTCAACTATTCTAACCCTAAACAGTTAACAGAAAAATATTCAGTCCCATTTCAAGTCTGGATAAGCTAAGTGTCTTCATTATTTCCTGTGACATGAATTGCCAACTGGGAGGACCTGGGCAGTTGTTGGCCGTCTTGCATTTTTTCGTGCAAGAGAATATATTTTTGTACACACATATTTTTCCCGGTTCTGGGGAATGCTCTGTTTTTATTAGCCAACAACAGCATCGTGTGTGTGTGTGTGTGTGTGTGTGTGTGTGTACGTAATCAATATTGTGCAATCTCCACCATTGAGATTAGCAGGGCATGGGTGACTTCCTATGGCAAGCAGGAGGTTCTTGGGGGAGCAGGAGGCAGAAATCAGTAATGACTGGACGCGCTTCAGTTTTGTGTTCTGCCAGCCATTTTTGTATTCTGCCACGTCCTAACAACCACCATTTTAGAACTAGCACCCATAGCAGTCTAAATATTTGAAGTGTGCCTGCTGGTCCAAAAAAAGTTGGTGATTTCCATAGATTCTTGAGTAGAACAAAGTTTTTGCAATGAATATATTTTTTCAGGGACAAGAATTTTCATTGCTAAATGTTTCCTCTTTTGGGATGCTCAGATCCAGGCTGTCCTTAATCCAGCTGAGAAGCATGTGCAGGACATCACTGGTCAGCTGGATGGTTTCACTGGGAGACTTGCCCAGCTACAGCTTAATGCAAAGCAGAACCTGTTGTTGGCTGCTGATGCTCAGCAAAAAGCAGGAGAAGCCAGTGAGCAAGCAAGGAGCACTCAGCAGGTATGGGAAATGGGAGCTTCCAGACACTACAATGTTTCTTCCCCCCTTCATTTTAAAGCTGTCACATTGTGATTCAAGGAAAACATATCACTGTGTTTCCTGTAGTTGTTTGCATGCTCTGGGGTGCAATATTAGTCAAGCAGCCCTGGCCAATACCTTTTGGGAGCTGCTTTGAATTCTGCTCCCAGTTTGGTGGTTATTCATGACGATGGCATGGTGCCTCACTATAATATAGTGTCTCTATCATACATACCTTCTCTCTTTTGCTTGTCCAGCTTTCCATGCTTGGTTCAATTATAGCCCTAAACAACAGACCACTGAGGAACTGATGGAATTCATAGAATTGGGTTGTTTAAAGAGCATTTTACATATCACATGCAGTTGTCAGCCTCAGCTCATCTTTTTTCATAATCCTTTGATCTAGTTATACAGGGGTATATTCAATGCACTTGTTCTATTAGTGCAAGGATTTGTGCTTGAGCAATGGAATTTCCCCCTTCCTCCTCTTTGCACCCTCTGCACCTTCCACAGATCTGCTCCAGAACATTGGGGGATATTGTAGTGGAGGTTGGGATATTGGAAATTCTATGGCATCCACATGATAGAGCCGTCAGATGTGTGACTTTAGCCTGTTCCCTCAATTTCTTCACAGAGATTTGAACAGGTGAGACAAAAATATGCAGAACTTAAGAGGAGGATGGGACAAGGATCAAACCTGGGAGAGCAAGGGGCTCGGATCCAAAATGCCCACAAGGAGGCCAGCACATTGTTCACAGAAGCCTTGAGTATGATGGCCAAAATGGGAGGTAAGGAGAGCATGACTTATAGCTGACCTCACAGTAATTTTTTCTGCCTTGCCTGACCACACAGGATTACGGATTTGTAAAGAACTAAAGGTTCTCTTTGGATTAATTTTATCTCTAGAATAAGTAGAATCCTACTAAAGTCAAAAGCAGTATTGAAGGTGTTTCATTTTGGGTACAAATCTGGAATGGGGAACCTTTGGCCCTTTGGATGTTGATGACATCCAACTTGCATTAGTCCTAGCTGGTGTGGCCAGTAATCGGGGTGATGGGAGTCTGCTGAAGACTATAAGGCCTTGTGAGCATGTTCTCCAAAATGGAGGCTGTGTGCATTTCTGGAGTAGCAAAATCTCTGCCAGTCCAGTTTCAGGGTTTTGTGGAAAGGTGAAACGAACGGCGACTGCAATAACCCCCGTGTATCTCCGCTCTTTCTTTTGATGCTATGTCCACTGAAGGGTGGGGTGGGGGTGTCATGTGTAAACAGTGTCCTATAGAGCCACTCACAGGCTCGCATCTTAACAACTGGTTGCCAAGCCAAGTGCCAGATTTTTTCGATGCTTCATTTGAACACTTCAGTTTGAAGCTTTCAAACCTAATGACTTTGCTCGACACGCTTTGGGAAGCAGCCAGTGCGTAGACTAAATGCCTTGGCCCCTGTAGCAGGTGGAGCATGAGTAACTGGCTGGCTCAGAGCCAGGGATGTTGCTGGAAAGGGGAGTCGGCGTTGCTTCCATTGATAAAGCTGTGCCTCTAATGAATGGCTTTCATTGAAGGTGCCTCTCTGTGCCAGAGACTTGGCAGCTGGCTGCTGCCAGGCAGTTACTCCTGCTCAGAATTTGCTAAATGCAGCAAGGAGTGTTGATATTACTAAATAGAGCAGCAGGCAATTTCCTATGCAGAACACGAAGAGCATATTTTACCAGTGTCTGCTGACGTCAATGCCAAAACTTGTTTGCCCTTAATCGGAAGGAACTGATTCAGGATGCTATGTGATAGAGCAGCAAATTTTTTTAAAAAATTGTGGTTCAGATTCTGCCACTGTTTTAGGCAGCCTCAGTGGGGGGTGTTAAGGATAGGCAGAAAATGTGGTCTGCAAGGCTCAAGGGTGTAGACTCAAGCAAAAGTCAGCTGCTGAATTTGTCTACTAAAATAGATGTACTACTATCCAGAACTTGCAGGAATGCTTGCATCAAACTGTGGCAGCACTTAATTGATTTGTTGTGCTCAAGGTCCTTTTTCCATCCTTGGAACCTGTCTTCTGCTTTCTGCATGCATATGCCTTTCCTCCTCTTGGGACTGAAGCTTGTTCTTTGCATTAGGAAGTTTAAAAGTAATGCTGAATTTGTGCACGAAGAGCTGTGCATGCTTGGTAATGCAAGCAAGGGGGAGGGTAGGATGCAAGGAATCAGCCAGTGATCTCCAGAGATAAAGTGTGACCTTGAGAGATTAACACACACTCTGCAACAGGGGGCATATTATATAACAGCTTAGTTTCACTCTGATCAGATGAATGAGAAACCCATGGCTGCTGCTGCTGAGCAACAGCCTACACACACATATATAATGTTAAAGAACTGGAGATGAAACAAAAACCTTTCTTTTCCGTGCATGTACCTGATTTCTTTTTCAACCCACAGCTATAGAAACAGAGCTTCAAGATAGCAACAGTGCATTTCTCCTTGAATCAGCCAAGCTGGCAGGCCTGGAAAAAAAGGTGGAAGCCATTCGCGATCATATCAGTCGTCGAGTTGAATATTACGCCACATGCACGGACTAGCACAGCCCTTCCTGTCTCCTTTCAGATGCCTTTCCCCCTCTTTACAAATAAAACAACTTTATCAGGAGGAGAAGCTGGCTGTGAACCAAAAGAGCCCTAGCTTTTAAAGAAGTCAGTGGGTTAATTTATTTGCCTTTCAAGGTCTTTTTTACACTTTACAATTACTGTTTTGAATTAAAACTTGCAGATGGTTCCTTTTTATGTAGAATGTGTACTTATTTTGCAACTTTTGCACTACAGAAACAAGGGGGACTGAAGCTGGATTTGGATTAGGGAAGAAACACAGTCATGAATAGTGATTGTGAGCAGCAATAATAATGACACGGCTGTATCTTGGACTTTATATTACAAGGACATCTTGTCTTATTAGCCACCACCTGCTTTATTGACAGCATAACACTCTGCAGATGGCAGGAAGAAAATCTGCCCTTGGAGTTCAGGTGAGCACCCTCCAGAATGAGTTAACAGACCGCTTCCTTTGCCATCAATAACCAACAAGCACTTAAAAACCAATCAGCTTTATTAAGCATGGTACATATTGTAGAATCACTGGCTTGGAAGCAGAACTTGGCTTCATCAAGAGAATAGGAATGCTATGTATGTCCCCTCTGCATCCACTGGAAGATGTACAAGGAATATGGAAGTTTTTGCCCACCTACAGCTGGAGGACATCTCGTTGGCTACCACAGCTGTAATGAAAGCTACACAAGCAAGCCAGCATAGAATGCATTCAGACTTGATCACCTTTTCCACATGGGCTCAGCACAAAAGAAGAACTCCTGGCAAGTGTTCTGTTATTCCACTGGACAGCTACAGGCTATAGATACAAAGCAAACATGCTCCCTACTTCCCGCCCCAGCATAAAATATAGCTGTTTGCAAGGATGTAGATAAGTACACTGAAATGGCTAGCAAAAACTTGCCTTCCTTTCATATAAATGTTTTCTTGTTGGTATTAATGACCCCTCTAACATTTCAAGTCAATTGCATCACAGAAATCCTCAGGCCCAGTGCTTCCCCCCCACTAGAAAAATAGGTGCTGGTACTCACCATGAAGTTGTTACAGTAAGTGCCATATTTTTTAACAACAAAAAGAGGTGCCAGTACTGGAGTACCCCCTGAAAAAAGCACTGCTCAGGCCTATGAATGTGTAGCACTTAAATGAACGGCCACAGGCAACTGAGAACTCACTTTGGCCTGGCAGAGCTCAGACCAGGCTCCTCTTCTCTCTTCTTGCACAATTGATGTTTGATTTTTGTGGCTTTGAAGAGATGAATCCAACAGCCCTTCTGAAAGAGATGAAATTCATTATTCATGTGTAACATGATTCCCCAAAATTCAGAAGTGCTACAGTTGTTTATCTTGTGGTTGATGTTTTTAAAAGCTCTGCCCACTGAAACAGGGTGCTGAAATGGAGGATAGTGGCCCAGCAAAAACTACACAGTAATACCAGTGATAAAACTGCTGGCTCTCAAACTGCTTTTCCACTTGGCAGAGTTTATATACTTATTAAACATTAAGGATCTCTCAGAAGGTGGCACACTGGCCATAATCCAATACAGAGTTAAGCATGCTTTAAGGTGTGGGGATCTTTTTCATCCCAAAGGGCACATTTCCTCATGGGGAACCTCTGGGAGCTGCATGGGGCAGGCGCCTCCATTCATTAGAAGTCAGAAGTTTCTCTACACCCATCTCTCTAACCACCATCCAGGCAACCCACAGGTATCACACTTCAAGGACACATTCCAGTCAGGAAAAAGCACTCAAGAGGCATTGACCACCATGAGTCAATGGTGAATTAGAAAGGCCTAGAAGGCCATACTCAGCCTCTGGGTCTGAGGCTCCCTTCTTTAAGCTTTTTGACACCAATGGGTTTACACACACCTAGCTATGAGTTGGACAGACTCTCATAGGGGAGCTTGACTTAAAGACTTATTTATCAGAGTGAGATTGGGGATATTTTCATTCAGGGGACATATATGGTGTTACGGCGACTGGCTGACTATTCATATC